TTCTTCAGTGGGCGGGGCGGCGTTAAATTGCTTGAGTATGAACGTTTCGAGTACTCTTTTCTTTTTTTTGTATCGTCTACCCTCAGTCCTTATAACTCTTCCTTGTAGCCCTAGCAAAATTCGAATGTATTTTTCAACGAAATTTCTAAATTTCGAAGCTTCTGAAGTCTCGCGCTCGGTATGCCAAAGTTGCATCATATCAGCGAGCGCGCCGCTGGCATTGTGCTACACACACCGAAGAGAGTGGAGAGAGCAGACATGGTCCTGTCACGACATGTTGCAGACGCCGCTGCTCGCAAAACACTGCGAAGCGGGCGCACGCTACCTCACTTGCCGGTCATTTTCGCTTAAAATAGGCGATGCGCTTTTTTGCATCAAAGTGTTAAACAATGTATGCGTATAATTTCGCAATTTCTACTCTAATGGTTCATAGTCAATCTTCCGTTTCACAGTATTATAAAGAGTGCGACGAATAATCAGAAGCCAAAAGTTGCCATAATTTTTTTCACTCTTTTTTCTCTACTTTTGAGCTTCATATCATACCCCAGGGCTATGAAAAAGGAATAATGAATCTTGAAGAGACGAGATTCTGAGTGGATGCTCCCCATACCTCCCCCTCCCCCAAATCCTTTGCCTCTAATTTGCGAAACTTCCTGCTTCAATGTTGTCTCGACAGTCCAGACCATCAAAAAGGAATCACGGTTCAATGAAGAACATTTTCGCTAGAAAAAACAATGCACAGTCAACCACTTGTTGTCGTGACATTGAAAGGGGCCGCGTGTGCGCGTTTGCGCGCGCGTTCACCTTTTCAAGGCATCAAGCGCCGCGCGTTTTTTCTGCGCTGCGCGCCGCCGCCACTTTTCAGGCGGACGCGCGCGCTCGCCTCGATGAGTTCAGCGGCGGCGTTTTTTTCCAGGGTGCGCCAGCAACGGCGCGCAATTCTCGGCGCCGTTTCGCCGCGCTCGCATTGCCTTTGTTCGGCGTTTTGTGCCCTCATCGTGCATTCCCCCCCCCGTGGTGTTCGACGGGGGGGGGGGAAGGGGTAGGGCGAGCGCATGTGATCGTGCCCTCGCCGCTGCCATCATCGTCGTTATCGTCGTCGTCGTCGGCATCACGTGCAGCCAACTGCCAAAGAACTCGTGTCGCCGGTTCCGCGCATAGAGGCTCGCCACTGTTTTCTAGCACTGTTTGCCCCTTCCTTCTTTTTTCCCGCTCCCTCTCCTCCCCCTTTTCCGCCTTGGACCTTCCCCAAATACATTTGTCGCCATGTGACACTGACTGTGAACGGTAGTGCAATTTAGCTTCCGTTAGAAAATCTTTGCGACCTTCACAGAATCGCCTTTTCATGTCCTCTGCATTACGTTTTTTTCTTCTCTCTCTCATCTTTGACCTTGTGACAGAGGTATAAGAAAAACCGTTATCGTAATTGCTAGGGCAAATTTCGCGCAGTGGACAAACTTTTATTCGAATCGTGCGCGAGTAGTGGGTTTGGGCAAAAACTCCGGGTACTTGCCTTGACGAAGTGCGTCGAAGGGCATTTTGGAGTTATGTTGTGCAGTTCGTAGTTTGGTAACTTCGTAACCTAATATGTGCAATTGCACACAATGCAATGCTCGTCAAACCCAGGGCTCACCATTGGAATGCACTCCGGGAAGTGCATGCTTTTTCACGTTTTTTCGTGTTTTGTATGTAGAAACAGGTTAGAATATGTCATAAAGTGTTAGTTTTGTCTTTACATGCAACAAATTGCGTGTGAGACGCGCATTGTGTAGCGCGTGTAATCGCACAAATTGGGATACGCTGTGTAGCCGTGTAATCGCACAAATTGGGAACGCAGTGATTGGACTATAATCACACAACTTTAAAAGCCCATATGCTTCTTTCCATTCGCTCCTTTCTCTTCATTTTTTCTATTTCAGAGAAGAATCTTTCTGATCTTCTTAAAATTTCCGTGGAAAAGCAACTCCATCAAATTTTTTTTACCATCTATATAATGTCTATAGCTAGACTTGCATGTCTCGCTTGTCTATTCTGCACTAATCGAATTATCCTCCACAATTTAACCGCGGACTTGCAGACTTAATGAGCTGGCTTTATTGCTGGCAACGTCCTCATGAATCGTCGCCGAACTCTTTTTTTTTTTCATAGAAAACGTTTCGGGACACTAACGCATGATGGATGTTCTTTAGTGGTTCAGTAGGGTCAATTGGGAAAGTCATTAGTGGAAGTGTGTGCCTTCACTTCCCCGTGTCAGTAATCCACATGATGAAAGGGAAGCGTTGTCAACCATTTTTATCCCGTAAAGTAATTTTAACAGAAATAATGTAACGATATAAAATCTATGAACCATTCCGATTATTGAAAATGAGTATCTTGGAGACTTGTTGCTAGCATAATTTGACAAATATTCTTTGAAAATTTTTCGTCCCTGACGGGTCCCAAGAAAAGCTCCTAGAAATGTTGCAAGGTGCTTGCTTTCGGAACTTTCCCATATCACCCGTGATTTCGAGAACGTCATGCATTTGTTTTTCTACAGTTGTGTGCAAGTTTTGAAGCTGGAATTGAGCCAAGTCCTTTTCTGAAAACGTTTAGTCTTACAGTAGCTTCATTTGTTACATAGAGATGGAAATCTTTTGGATTTGTGAGCTTTGCGCTACTATGGTAAGTGCAGATCATTATTTGCCGTGCATCTCTCTCATGATCTGAAGTACTTTTGGTTTAAGAGACTTACCAGTGATAGTACACAAAAGAGAATGAATGAAATTTCTAACTGTAGTCCCAGTCCTTGAGCCTTGTAAATAAGAAGATGATCTATCTTCATGTCAACTTTTTCTGTAAAAATACCAAATATCAAATCTTCTTACATGCATTAGGCAGGGTTCATACTGAGCCGCACAAAGCGGCACAGTTCCAGCACAGCGCTCGAACTGTGCCCGAACTGTGCTGCATGCGCAGTTGGAGTATTTTGACCGTTTCTGACGGTTTTTCTTCTAGGTTTCGCTCATTTCGGGCCTTATTCCTCCACCTCGCTTTTCCTTTTGATGAGTAGAACTCCGAGCGCAAAGCGGGCTTGAGGAATAAGCACTGTTTTGCTTTGTGTGTCCGATTATGCGTGTTGTTCCGCTCGTTCATGTCTCTTCGTTTCATCCTTGCATAAAAGTATTCCATTTGTTTCCAGGAGGCCGCCGCAATATTTGCGCAGGCATTTTTCTTGAAGAAGAGCAAAAATAGTGCAGGAGAGCAGGAAATTCCATCAACCTGTTGGCCACTATTAAGCTCCTAGCCCCTTTTCGTTTTCATTTCATTGTTTTTTCGTTTTTTGTTTTACCCCGCTTCCCTTTTTGTTGTGTAGCACTTCGAACTTGAAGCGGGGTAAACCAACGAACGCGGTTGTGCTCCATGTATCCTCTCAGCCGCGTTCTTTTTCCATTTCATTGCTTTTTCGCTCTTTCTTCTACCCCGCTTCAAGTTCGAAGTGCTACACAACAAAAAGGGAAGCGGGGTAAAACAAAAAACGAAAAAAAAAGGAAATGAAAACGAAAAGGGGCTAGGAGCTTAATAGTGGCCAACAGATTGATGGAATTTCCTGCTGTTCTGCACTATTTTTGCTCTTCTTCAAGAAAAATGCCTGCGAAAACATTGCAGCGGCCTCCTGGAAACAAATGGAATACTTTTATGCAAGGATAAAACGAAGAGACATGAACGAGCGGAACAACACGCATAATCGGACACACAAAGCAAAACAGCGCTTATTCCTCAACCCCGCTTTGCACTCGGAGTTCCACTCATCAAAAGGAAAAGCGGGGTGGAGGAATAAGGCCCGAAATGAGCGAAACCTAGAAGAAAAACCGTCAGAAACGGTCAAAATACTCCAACTGCGCATGCAGCACAGTTCGGGCACAGTTCGAGCACAGTTCGAGCGCTGTGCTGGAACTGTGCCGCTTTGTGCGGCTCAGTATGAACCCTGCCTTAGAATGCGAAGTTTAAACGCAGACAAAGAACGTGCTTTAAAATATGCTTACCTGAAGGGCACAAATTTTTGTATTCCAAGATAAATTATGGAGTCAGTTTTAGAGGAGCGGGAGAGGGAGAGCGATATCTGCGCAGTTGCATCTGGGTCTTTTTTTTGAATTCTTAGATCTCTACGGAAACGTTGATTCAGAAAATCTGCCTTGATGCACCATGTGCATCACTGACTCGAAACGTGCCAATTTTATATTTGACTATATATACCTCTGGATGTTGAATGTCTTTCTGCGCGGATATGTGGATAGTATCCAATTATACCTTACTAGTAAGGGAGTGAACCTACTGCATCATATTCTGTGCTGGAGCAATTATGATGTAATAAGTGGACATATGAGTATAACGGCTACCGTAGTCTAATAATTACGGTAATACCCCATTTGTGTTTGATTTCCTGAATAGAAGAGGTGCTTGTGGCGTCAGTAAATCACAGGAGATCATGATTTTTCTCTAAGTTGTTTTCATTGTGATATATGCCTTTACATATAGCTTCCTCTGCACTGCAGATACAATAAATTTGAGTACAAAAGCAGGAATATAATAATAACGGCAATGAATGGAAGAAAGATCAAAATAAATTTGCCATGATTGTATTACAAATATAGGAGAATGTACAAACGTTGTTACTACAAAGCGCCATAATCGGGAAAATTCAGGAAGTGATAGGAAATCTTCTAGAATGTGATTTCGTCCATCTAATTCTAATGAACTTGAAAGTAAAGCGCAGGAACTAGTTTCGAAGAATTGATTTGGATGTCTTGTTCTTCCAGAATTCTATTAAACCTAGCAAATTCTTCAATTACATTCTCCTGCAATCATTGGCAAAGTTCATTTCGATTTTTTCCTCATCTGATCGTCATTTCGTCTCCTCTCAAATTCCTTCTCATTATTTTTTTATCGCTCATCGCTCTTCGTTTTTGTTCTTGAACTGTTGACAACGTTGCCATTGTCTCTCAAAGTCTCTCATTTTTCGCAGGTATGCGACCTCGGCGACCTTCAATGGACAGTGAAACATCAAGTGATTCGTGGTCTGTTATACAGGTACACAACTTTATGACTTTGTTTACATATACGTAAGTAAAGAAGTAAACAGGTGAAATTTTCAAGGAAGGTAATTTCGCTTATCAGTGGAACCCATAAGTTTTCCGAGAATTAACGAAAAAAATTCGTCAAAAATGTTCATGGAACCCATAAGTTTTCCGAGAATTAACGAAAAAAATTCCTCAAAAATGTTCATGGAACCCATAAGTTTTCCGAGAATTAACGAAAAAAATTCGTCAAAAATGTTCAAAGGTTGAATGAAATGAACTCAGCAACAGTTACTCGCATTCGATTACCAGAGGATTTTTATACTAAATATTAGGTTGTCCCGAAAGTTCGTTCGCACCATTTTCAAAAAATCATAACTTCTTTCCTTCACGACGATTTTGCGCAATTTAAATTTTATTAGAAAGCGTAAAGCATGTAGTTTCCAATGGTTCCCTGGCGACTTTCCAGCATGTTCAGGTTGCAGAGATAAAAATGAAAGAACGAAAACATCCGAAGTTCGGAATTTTTGAGAAACAATTCCAAAAATCTAGAAACTGCGCGATAAAATCCAGAAAAGCCATTATCCTGATTCTTCTTATATTTGATTACTAACTGAGTTAAGTTTGTGCTGATTGAGCCCTTCTTTTAAAAGTTATGAATTTTTGAAAAAAAAATGCCGAAAAATCATTTTCCTAAGGATTCCTGAGAAATCGATTTTTCGGCATTTTTTTCAAAAAATCATAACTTTTGAAAGAAAAGCTCGATCAGCACAAACTTAACTCAGTTATTAATCAAATATAAGAAGAATCAGGATAATGCTTTTCTGGATTTTATCGCGCAGTTTCTAGATTTTTGGAATTGTTTCTCAAAAATTCCGAATTTCGGATGTTTTCGTTCTTTCATTTTTATCTCTGCAACCTGAACATGCTGGAAAGTCTTCAGGGGACCATTTGAAACTACATGCTTTACGCTTTCTAATAAAATTTAAATTGCGCAAAATCATTATGAGGCAAAGAAGTTATGATTTTTTGAAAATGGTGCGAACGAACTTTCGGTTCAACCTAATATTTTAGTCAATATCACAATTAATAATGAATTTAGAAATTAATTACATTTTCAGCTTTTTACCGACCGACAAAAATCGACTATACTGTTTTTTTCAAACGTTGCCAACATATTTTGCTCCAGACAGTGCTAGAGATACATGAATTCAAATGATTTCGAATGATTTTTTCAAACATATTGAACCAGACAAATCTATTGAAAAGATCCTGAATTTTCTAGAATTGCGCTGCAAAACTTATGCATCACTTGAAGTATCTGTAGCGAAATGATTCATTGAGTATTCTGCTCTTGAAGTGTGACTTTTATTTGTCTAGGCATTTTCTCAAAAATCAAATTATTTACTGCCCGCTGAGCTCTTACAGATTTACAGACAAATTTCTGTATATGATCTTTATGCCCGATCTTCTTGCCCTGGCGTAAAATGTTTATACAAAGCCTAGAAACATTCGAGTGCTGGGGGAGGGGGGGGGGGGGGGGTGGCAGTCTTTTGAAGTTTTGATTTGGATTTTTCAGAGGCTGACTTGAATCTTTACAAAAATTGAAAAATTGTTTAATTACATTTAGACAGTTGCACAATTTCGTGAGGTAGACCATATATAAATTTTTACCAGTTCTGGGTGGTGGGGGTGGGGAGGGGGAAGGGGAAGGAAGGAGAAGGGGAAGATCTTTTTCCTTCATCCATTCATTGCTTTTCTTCATACGAAAGAAATTTCATTTGTTTTGTCAGTCATTTTTTTGCACATAGTTAATCGAAACTAATTCTGGTCCATTGAGAAGTAAGAATATGTATATTCTCGATTTTTTTTACTATAAAAATTCACTTCCAGCACAGCTTATTTCCATTTCAGAAAAATGTTGAGGCGCATGAACACTCTAGCGATGATATAGAATTTGAACCATCAGATTCGGAAGAATGGGACAGTGACAGTGATCAAGTAAGTTTTGCTTGGTTTGATATAGAGCATTTATGATTTTCTGTTTTTTTCTCGGCGTTTTTTGAAGTTATGTCTTATTTAGGAGACGGATTTCTGTGAAAGAAATGAAGATGAAGGAAATAATTCCATTGAGGTATACGATGAATCGCAAGGGATCGAAGATGACAGCGGTGATTGCGAGGTTAGTGGGTCTTTATAGTAAATGGAATTACAAGAGGCCTTTTTGCACCGCCACAGTAGCCATACCCATTTCAAATTGAGACGCATATCTAGTAGGCTTCAATCGCACGCAAAAATTCATTGCGGAACAGCCTGTTTGCACCTTTACTGCGTCCCATATGGCTTCATAACATGTATCTCTTACAGCAAAGTGGACCGCGAGACGGCTCTTTTGCACCGCTACAGTACCTGTAGCTCCACGCGGGCACCTGCCGGCCTAACCTGCCTATGTTTCACGCAAATACTTTTATTTGAAATCGATAACGGAAGCCCTGTAAAGCTCTACATCTTGCTTTTCTGATGTTGCGCATGGTTACGGTAGCGTACGGTACGGTGCAAAATGGTCACGAAGCTCACAGGTTATTATTGTGGACTTCAGCTCAACTTGTACAAATACGTCTTTCAGATTGTCAGCGATGAGGAGATCATGGAAACGAGTGGTTACCGTTACTTCGTACCTACGGATAAAGTTACCAAAACATTGGATATGCTTGGTACGATAATGTTTCCAAAAAAACAAGTAGATCGGGGAAGAGTGCTTTTGCAAAGTACTGGAGAGTAACCTTTTCTGTCTCGCAACTTTCGATTCTTGAGTTCTTTAGCGGTGAAGTAGTCGAAAAGAGGCGTGGTTGGGGCGGAGCTAGCCATGCGAATGTTTGAGAAAATAATGATCCTTTGCGAATGCTGATAATTTTGGATTAGGATTTCTTACACAGCCAACTGTTATCCTTCGGTATATGCGTCATGTGTCATGACAGTAAAATTGCGGGCGATGGAGGAGTGGGGGGTGGGGAGGGAAAGAGTGCGCAGATGGCGTATGGGAGAAAATATTGGGCATTAGGCACTGTTCTCCTCTAAAGTGCTGCCTCTAGTTCAAACCAGGTAAATCTGGGATCCATTGCCAAAATAGCAGCTGATAAGAATCATTGGTGACCGAAAAATTCATCTGTAAACTCTCGCCCAGTACCGTACTTTCTCCTCGAGAACCAGTCTCGAGTACGGTAGTGGGCGAGAATTTGGAACTGGATTTCTGGGTCGTCCCTTCACTGTATTATCTATCGTTTAACTACAGAGACTCAAGCGGACATTTTAGAAAGTCTGATTTCTATTTGTGTATACTAGATGCCGAATGCTACTCGAATTTTGACGCCTTAATTCGGCTTGTGGTTCCCTCGACAAGAGACGCAACTCGTGCCGCTGTGCTTGCATTTTTCGCGCTGTCAACGACGCTTCTGTTCTTGACGAACCCAAATCTGCCTGAGATGGATGTGGATCGCTCGAATGAGGTATGCACTCGCACGAGACTCCATTTTCTATCACAGAGACATTCCGTAATGAATCCATCTATTTTCTAGGTTTTTGCTTCCGGCCTGCAGAGCCGGGAGGACTTTGGACGAGCTGACACTCCACTCATGCGTCGACGTCGTTATAATTTCACTGAAAAGGTTGATTTTTCAGCGAAAAGAAGCAGAAATGAAATTTTATGTTTTTTAGTTTTTATGTAGAGGCTGGCAGGTGCCTTCCTTGTCTACAACACCACCATCATGGCTCAAGATGGATCCGATCGGACTCCCTCCACTTTTTCCTCCCACTAATGCCAATTTGACGCCTGCTATCGAGGTAGATTTAGTACCTATCAAGCAGTACCCCCGCCCCCTCCTCTACGAAATCTTCGAACTACTTACATGAATTATAGAAATGTGCAAGTGGCTTGTTCATACTTTTGAACAATTGAAATATTTTTCGAAATTTTCTAAAAAATTCACTCATCTTTCCAAAATAACTCTCCAGGATTGCTGCCGCCACGCCCCTTTCTGCTGAAATTTCGCGGCTATGGGCCCGCGAACATTTTGGCAAGCATACCAAAAGTTTTTCGAAGGCGATTTTGGCTATTTTCTTGGCTATTTTGGTCACCCCCACCCCCCTCTTCCCGAGAACGAGAATCTTGAGTACGTCACTGCTTAAACGGATATGCGATTGTTTCAGTTTTGAAATTTTGGTTTAGAAATTCTGCTTATTGAATGGTTGCTTATTTATGGACACAAAGTGTATATAGTCAATTCCCAGTAGAAGCTGATGCCTAAACAAGCGTAATGCACGCGAAAGCGGGCGCGGGCGGTTATAGTCCGCGAACTGCACTTCACGTACTTCGACATCCGTGTAAACGCCCCTCTGTCCTGAAACTTTGCTCGATATTTATTTTTCGAAAAACTTAACAGTTTGGCTTTTTACTTACTTATTTTTTATTTACTGTGCACTTTTCGACAACTCAGCAATCTTAGATATTCAGAGTTGCGGTTTTTGAATACACTACATTTTTTTAAAGTACAAAAACTTCTGTGAAATTGCACGCCACGCGCGGCTCTTCACGTCTACATATTGGGAAGCTGTGAATAGTGACCATTTAATTGAATAAACTGTTGTAAAACGTTTCCACGCAAGATTGTATCTCACACTCAAAGAAGGAAGAAAAGCAATAAGAACATCCCGGAAAACGTAATTTGACGCACATAAGTCGTGAAATGCAGCGCAAGTTGTGCATTACACTAGTTATCGCTACACTACTGTACCCTTATGTGTAATTTGCAAGCACATGAACGTATGAGCTGTTGTGAAGTTTTATTGATTCTTGATTTAAAATGGATTTGTTTTTTAGATCAGTGAAGCAGCGTTCTTCTCTCGTCCAACGATGGTGGTCTCTTCAATCTCGATTTCTTCTAAGGTAAGCGCTATCTCAATCCGTTTCGATTTTGCTAAAGGAACAATGAAAATAGGGTTCTAATTTTGCGTGGGAGGTTATGTTCAGAAAAGCTAGCGCCTGCTTGACTGGAAATAAACTGCAATACTTTGATATGCGATTGCTGCCCCATGCTTGCGAAAAATGAGTTTCATTTAGAAAAAATCGCATTATCTCGAAACCAGTTGCACACTTGCATTTCTCTTGCACGAGATTAATGGTCAGGAACTAAATTTTTGCAGAAACCAGTCACTAGATGTTTCTCTGCACTATCATATTATGTGACTTTTTTGGATATTAGCGAAGAAGGGTTTTAGGGTGTCGCACGGAAAGTAACAGATTTGAAATTCGACGCTCACCCTCCATTATTTTCTTGGGCGGCGCGATGTAGGGTCTTTGGTTAACATTTACACGATATATGACATGGCGCAGGGATGGGCGGAGCTTCACGTTTTGCAAGTACCGTCGCTTCCCGCACGCACGCATCGCGCTTCTCTGTTGCTTTCGACCGTATCCGTTATTTTGAAGAATTCAATTTTTTGTGGCAGTGGAATCCAAACAACTGAAAGGCGCGCGTTGCGTATGCGCGCGAAGGCGTCTTAGGATGGTTTCATATCTGTGCAAGTCACGATGTGGTCATCCTTGCCATTTTTGCAAAAGTGAATGCGGATCAACACTGGTAACGTCTAAAATCACCATCTGTTACTAATAAAAAAAAGAGGCATTGTGGATCACCAGTTTAGACTGCGACATGATGGTGCATGTGGCGTAACCAATCAATCAATACTTTCATGAAGCACATATGTTGTGCATCGCAACGATTAGGCCAAGGCGCGCGCCGCTGCAGTAAATTTGGAGCGCGGTGTGGAAGGCGGCAATCTCAGTTTCTGCGCCTTAATCAGACGCTCCGCCTCCATTGATGCTAAGAAACGTAGTGTTGGCGTTTTGGCCGATACGGGTCCTGAACTGATAAGCCAATTGCACCAGAGATTTTTGCAGTAAAAATCTGAAAATAAAATAAAGAAGAACTCAAACAATAAAATAAAAAAATGTTAAAAATAAACTAAAGGTAAGAAAAATAATAAAATTTAATTAAAATGTATATATCTTGAGCTTGTACACTTTACTAGCCACAGTTTTAACGCGATGTAATGATGTGGTGCACTACTGGGCGGATTTCGAGTTGCTTGCGATACATAGTCTCGTCTTATGTGTGTAGGTTTGCTCCGCAGTGCTTTCAGGGCATTTCCATACAGGACCACAGTGGCGTGACATGGCGCGCGAATGGGCGGGGCCTAAAGTCGGCAGGGTTTTGCACCTATTGTGTGTTGATCCTGCGGTGTGCGCGCATCTCTACGGTAATTTTGGGTTGATTTGCGCTATCATTTGCATGGGGAATGGTAGCAGCTGGTATGGTGCCTCATCCGCAATTGCAGAATGTGCACGTAATTCGTTTCATCACGGCAGAAATCACATGATCACGCGGTCTTCAAACAAAAGAATGACTTCACTGACAATGTAAAAACGTAGGAATTTCGTCTCTTATCGGATGACGCATTCGTTGCGTCGTTGCAGGGGGGGGGGTGACCAGGTATGAGCAATAGGGATAAGGGCAAATGCAAACGATAAATTAGATCTTATCGACCGGCAACATCATTAATCACCTCCATCGCTTAGGGGAAAAACACACCAATTCATTTATCCCAATAGCGCTTTTTCCCCGCTGTCGAAGCTCTTCCAAAGTAGCAAAAGCAAGCGAAAAAATCGATTATTCAACTGCGAGTTGTGCATTTTTCTGCATTTTGTGTGTGCGAGCGAGAAAGAGACTAAAGCGATCGTCGACGTGAAACCACGTAGCTCGGCGCCATCGCATTTACGTTTGTGAAGAGAGGGGGGGGGGGGGGGAATCATAGCACACTGGTTTCATTCGTCGACGTCGAGCGAATGCACGTAGCCGCAACTCACTTTATCGTCTCAGCTCAGAAAAACCGACTTTTCCGGAAATTGTGGCGTTTTTTTTCGGCTGCAGAAACACAGCCGGAAGCATTCAATTGTTCGCTTACCTCTTCCATTATTCATTCGCTGTCTTAGAGCAGATCTCCAAAAGAAAGCCATGATTTTTGTAATTTTCGTTTGCCATTTTGTTCGGAAAGTTTGTGAGCAGTATAAGTATTCTGATAGCTTCTGATAGTATCCAATCTGCAGCTTCCTTAATAAATTTTTCACAAATTCACGCCAATTTCTACTCAACTTGGTGATTTTGGCCCTCCTACCGTACACTTATCGAACCGGGATACACGACATCAGCATACGCGATCAGCGCGCAAAATAACTTCCTCGTATTGCGGTCCTAGTAATTCGAATCAAAGCCTCGGAACTTACAGTCTATTTAGCCAATTCTATTGTCAGACCTGCATTTTGGCCTACCTACCGTACACCTACCGTACTGCCCTTATGGCACCAGCGGACATGACCAGCGCTTAATTCTTGAGCTTCCGTAATTTCCATACTTCTCCTCTAAGTTTTGATTTTAACGGTTTTTGACGTATTTTTGCTTCTCCACAGCTGGGTTGGGCATATAACTCGCCCACAATCAGCAATTTACGGTCGCGTAAGGTTTTTGCTACTGTGTGCAAATGCACACTTTACAAAATAAAACTTACCGCTTGACACTTGTGATTTGTTTTTTCTTCTCCTTTTTTGCCTGTTCTTTTTATTCGGGCACAATCGCCGTGATCGATCACTTCTGCGAAATCTGCAATTCATCGCTAGCATCCCGAAAAATGTGCAATTGCACACTAGGAAAAAACCTAGTCTGCACAAATTACTCTTTAAGGTTTTCTGACCTACGATTGATCAAACTTCACATTCTGACAAGTTCGATCAAACCTTGAGGTGCAAACGCAAAGAAATATTTCCTATATATCTTTTGAGTGCTGACATTATTTTTTTGAAGCTCCTTCAAGTCTAGGACAATTTGAATAAGACGAGAACTGGTCCCCAATTTCTGGACTGTTCTTTTACTTGCTTTTTTGGCATCAATATGCAAATTTGACTTATTTTTTGCTGGTATGAAATTCTTGTGCTCTTTTGTCTGTTTGCTGGCTACATGGCCCGAAGCGAGAACTAGTCCTCACAAAAAATCAGCGTAGTTTTCTTTCGTTCATTGCGGATTAGAAGTTACTAATAGAGTTACATATTCTGAACATTATGTTTTTATCTGTGAAAAGTATTCTTTGCACAATAGAAGTTCTTTGAACTGTCAGAAATGATCCATTCTTCACTTCAAATTTCGATTTGCTAATGTGAAATAACACTTTGCAAAAGCCTCTTTTGGCAAATTTTGGAAATTCAGGTTTTCTTTTTCTGTGTAGTGTTTTCTTAGTGAATTATGGGAATTTTTTCGTTTTTTCAAATGCCTATTGTTTCGTAATTTCTTAGGGAAATACCTCTACTAGTCACGAAATCCTTTTGTAATAATAAAGGAATGTAGAGAAACCGGTTCATAGGTGAGGCAACATGATGTCTGAAAGGGGTAAAAGTCGCGTTCTTCTGAGAATTCAGCCCCATTCGTTCCAGTTTTGCGTTGTGGAACCAGCATCAGCCGACAGCATCAACCATTTGTATTATATATGTGTTTCGGGCACGGAACAATGTAGCACAAAAGAAATCATACTCATTTGTTCGAGCAAGTTCTAGAGGGGGAAGGGGGCGAAACGAGAAAGAGTCAGTGCACGCTCCTCGTGTGCAAGTGAGTCCGCCTTGCCTAAACCGCCTTTCATTTCAGCCTCGGAACGTGTGTCGCCACGAGGACGACGCAATGCGTCGGCGTCGTCGTGGACGTGACGGTGATGCTGGACCTGCGTCGATTCGCCGAAGCAATGAGGTACGCGGTACGCGTGAGTCCGCGCGGCGTCTCGTGCGCGCGTGCGCGCGGTCCGTTTTATGGCCCCTTCCTCATCGCCGCGCCCCCTCTCGGCGCCGAGGCTGCTGCAAATTTCGTGTGCTGTGTGCGTGAGTGAGTGTATGCGTGTGTGTATGTATGTGTGTGTGCGTGTGTATGTATGCGTGATGTGTGTGTGTTCGGTCGTCGTCTAGGATGAATCGATAACGGTTTTTTGCATTGGCGGCCTCCCGCATCCCCTCCACCACTGCTGATGACTCAAACAAAGCGCGGAGAGAGAGATGTACTCTATGCAATCGCGATGAGCGGTGCTGCTGCTCGCTCTTGGCTCGCGCGCTGCTGACTAGACTAGCCAGCCAGCTAACTGCCTTCCACTACTCCAGGTCGGACCGACGCCGCCACCACCGTCGCCACCGCCATCGCCACCGCCGTCGTCGACGGCGTCGTCGTCGTGGAGGCGAGCTGCCGCCGCCGCTGGCGACGAGCCGCATCTGCTCTCGGCGCCGGTATCGATCTCAAGAATGGCGCAGGTGAGTGTCGCGAGTTGCTTCGGAGACCCTCTGATTCCTCCCCCCCCCCCACCTTCTGTGCTTTTCGCGGTCCGGCTCAACCGCTTCGTCCATTTCAGCCTCCGAGCGACGTCTGCAACCAGCATGTGAGGCGTGAAAAAGCAGCGCCGCCGCCGTTCCGTGGAACTGGAAATCGCGCACAACAGCAGCTGAAGGTGGGCCATTCTCCTATGTTCTTCTTCTGCTTTGCTGCTTCTCTATAGTCGCACACGCGCGAGCGAGCAAAGCCGAACCCGTTCACATTCGTAATCCTAGCCACCTTTACCTAAACCTCTTCTTTACCCATCTCTCACTTCCAGAAAATTCTGAGCTTCACCTTCTCCACTTTTTTTTTCAGTAAAACCGCTCTTTCTCTATGCATTTCCAGTGCCACCAGCACTCATGTGTTTCCCCTTCCGACGTCCCGTTCGATCTCCTCTCGTAATAATGGGCGCGCGGCAGCCGCCGTCGGGCTCTTGTCAGAAGCTATTTCCGGTACGGGGCTCTTGGTAGGGCTAAAAAAGTCTTGAGGATTTGTGGATCGAGATCTACGCTATGGATTACGGTAGTTGGATTCGAGAAGCATCTGGGAGTTGGCGATTACGTGCTGAGTTTTTTGGCAAAGAAGAAGTTGGTTTAGGCGGTTTACGGTTGGAAGAGGGTAACCGGGTGAGGTTACTAGGGTGACCTGGTAGGGCAGGATAGTAGGACCTACTTTTTTACAATACTAGGAGTACATAGAGCATTCCTCATCTAAACGGACTTTCCTCCGTTTTTTCATCACAAAAGCTCTCGTGCCCTCAGCTTGCAAGCAGCGCCCCATCGCTCGTCGCTCCTCCTCGTCGCACGAAAGAAAAGTAAAGTAGTCACGAAGAGAGAGGAAAAGTGAAGAGTTGGGCGACAGATGTGCTCAGAGACAGAGCACAGCCAGCCACCCATAGTCAAAAAAACCATAGCAAGTGCGAACATCTGCGAGCAAAGTGGTTAAACATCGCTGCAAACGACCCGCTGACGATCAGACGTTGTTCGTCGAGGACGTTAACTTCAATCGATTAGAACCGTTTGATTCGAGGAAATTCGTTTAGTCGAAGACATTGTCATTGAGGTCATTGTTTTCTGAGAAACATCAAAAAACATGTTGGAGGGGGAATCAACGGTAAAGTAATGAAAATGCGATAAAAATTGAGAAAATCTGGTAATTTCTACATTTCTTTATAGTTTTCTGAACACTTTTTACGAAATGGACCCTTTTGCACAAGTACAGTATGCTACCGTAATTTTGCGCAACATTTGTAATCTGACAGGGCACATTTCAGAAGTTTTTGGGATTTGCACAAGGTAGCGGTACGCTGCCAGCTACTGGGCAGGTTACGGTAGCATACGGTAGGCGCGAAAGCTTCTGTACTCCTTTGATTTTCCCTATATTAGTCGTTACTATGGAAAACTGTAGCAATAGCTGTCTGTAGCTTGTTTTCGTAAAGTAATGAAAATGCGATAAAAATTGAGAAAATCTGGTAATTTCTACATTTCTTTATAGTTTTCTGAACACTTTTTACGAAATGGACCCTTTTGCACAAGTACAGTATGCTACCGTAATTTTGCGCAACATTTGTAATCTGACAGGGCACATTTCAGAAGTTTTTGGGATTTGCACAAGGTAGCGGTACGCTGCCAGCTACTGGGCAGGTTACGGTAGCATACGGTAGGCGCGAAAGCTTCTGTACTCCTTTGATTTTCCCTATATTAGTCGTTACTATGGAAAACTGTAGCAATAGCTGTCTGTAGCTTGTTTTCTGCACGTCGGAAGAGGGAAGGTTGCGGGGGAGGGGGAAGGGGGTAGCATATATTTTCAACTCTGCGGGCAAATGCAATCTCATAACAAAAAGACGATACGGTGTAGAAAATTTTCATTGTATCACATTTCTTGAAAAAAAAGGGGAAGGGAGGGAGGGGGGAGGAAGGAACCGTACTTCAATATGACCAAAGAAGCACTACTAGAACATACAGATTTTATCCTTGATTATTCTAGTTCTACTTTTTTAGAAACCACGTAAACTCGAATTTTTTCTGCTGTCTTTTAGTAAAATTGTGGAAAATACGGTATTTCTTTGCAGGATTCCATCAAAATGCTGACTGGACGACGTCATCCTAAACTAGGTCAGATCAAGAAGCAAGCGAATGTTCCAAAAGGTATTTCATAATTTCTAATTGCCGCACCGCGCAGTGTTGGGTAGGGGAACGAAAGCCGCCAGTTTGAGCCGCCTCCGCGGACTGCTGGTCCTGAAACGACATGCAACAACACTGCGAAAGAACCAGTTGGCCGCGAAAGGCGACTCAAACTGGCGGCTTTCGTTCCCCCACCCCGCAGTGTTCGGCTAAGTTGTGCAACTGCACAATTATTCTGCTCTCAAACAGCAACTTTCATTTACTGTGCTTCGGAATATTGAACTAGTTTTCTTTTCAGATCTCGAATACATCCTCCGTCATCATGGTCCTCGTCCGGCACCAAAGCGGCCTGTGTTCCCCAGGAAGCAAATGTCATCAAGATTTGGGCCATGCTTGCCGGTACATGCACCATGCATTGAAAAGAATACCACCAAGCGCTATAAGGGTTAGTAAGTTGGATCTTTGCCAAAATGCTGAACTAGCAAATCGTTAATTCAAGGAAGAAGGCCCTTCTGCACCGCTACAGTATGTCTGGTTACGGTAGCATACAGTATCGGTGTAAAATAGCCCGTTTGAAATAGATGAGAACGAAAAACATACAAATAACGAGGGAAAATATGCATCAGAGTTTGCTCAAACTCCTCTTTGAACGCATCATCTCCTCCCCCCCCCCCCCCCTTTTCCAGAAATTTCTGGAGAAAACGACGTAGCTCAAGTCATCGTACAAGTGCAAATGGCAAGGAAAAACTAAACACCTCATAAATTTTTAAGAAAAATATCCATTAACGCTAACTACGCTAAAATATAATGGTGAGAAGTTAGTGTGACTGCAGACAATGCATCAAAAACATGAACACATGACGGCGCAAGATTATGTTTGACGACTGCATACCTTGTGACAATTTTTCGAACATCATTTGTTCAAAGCGGCCCCCTCTTTGAACTCCAGCCCATACCGTACTTTACCGTAATCGAGGTCGCTGATTGGTCCGCGCGACATACCTGCTATTCAATATCCGAATAAGATGTTCAGGTAGTCAGATTCGTCTGCACGGTGCCTTGACGCCTTCAATAATTTTTGGAATCGATTGAAAATGAAAATAAATAAATAAATAAATTAGGAAGACGGCCACCATGAGGTTTTTCGCTAATATGAGAGCTTTTTAATTATTAATTTCACTGGCATTCTTGAGCGCAGAATGAATAGATAAATAGATGAATGAATAAATAATTAAACAAACGTTTTGTTTTTATAACGGTATAGGAACGAATACGGCAATTGGGCGCAGCCTCCGCGGATTACTGTTCCTTTCTCGCAAGTTTCTGCCTATCGCGCGAGGACCAGTAGTCCGCGGCTGCTCCCGCTGGCGGTATCCATTCGTTTGACCTTTTTATACTCCCTAATTTCCCCTTTTTAGGGCCAAAAGCCATGATGGTCCCTCCCACAGGCAGACACCATCTATCCGTCTACAAACCATGTCGTCCACCAATGCCATCGCTGACTCGTCCGCCGAGACCTTGCCAGAATCATCAAGATGCTGTGAAATGTTGGAAATCGTTTGGTGAACGACGTCAGGAGCCGAAGCCGAAACGTTTCCAGCATCAGCATGGTGGTCAGAACGATTGGTTCATTCGACGTGGTCAAATTAGAGCCGAAAATCGGCGCAACTAAGCCAGCCAAATACACACAAAAATCTTAATTTTTCTATACAAGATTCTTTTTCTATGCTTTTTTTTCGTTGGAGGATTTTCTGCGCCATCGCGGCTGCTGTTCCCTCAAAGGGAAGCGTAAGACCGTGACTGACGCGAAGTCTGTGCACATCATCATAGTAGATTCCATAACAAGCGCTAGATTCGTCATCCCTCCAAAAAACTGATGATTACTGATTTTTTTGTAATTTTTTCCGGTGATAGATTTGTTTTTTTCTCTCGGCAGTCTGGTTCGGGGCTTGGAAACTGGGTTGTCAGGTGCAAGAATTCTGAAGAAAAATACTTTTCCTAGCCAGCTTGGGTACACTCTGGGTAATTCTTGCAGGTTCTGTCGCTGGTATTTCTTTCGGGAAGACAATCACTTCTAGCCATTAAATTCCAGAATCTTGCAGCAGGGAAGTTAAAAGATCTTATCTTCCCAATTCTCAACCCAAACAAAAATTTCCGGGCCAGACCCGCCCACTTCTTCTTTTTCTTTTACGGTATGATTATATGTGTTGCCCTTGGTCCTAGACTACTTTGTTGTACATAGTCCGTAGAGTTGCGCTAGAGTTCCTAGACCTGAATTTGTGACGTTCAGCACGACCGCATGCGCGATTACGCGCGAGAGTGCGCGCAGTCCTTCCGCCCGAACCCACATTGCTTTGCCTCTATGAATAGCTGAACGTGCCGTATATGGCTTCTTTGTCCCGCGGCGGGTTGTACATCTATCAGATATTGATTTCAACTGAAGCATGCCCGCGCGAAAGCGCTCAGCGCGCGCCCTATTCCTGCCCGCCGCCTCCTCTGGCCCTACTCTCCCCAACCCCGATCCCCCTATCCTCTTGACTAAAGACTTTCTCCTTCTAATCTCTACATTTGTCTCGTCGTCTCCCCCGATCCGGCCTCACCTCCTCGACCCTAAACGCCTCTCCGCGCCCCTACGAGGGGAAAATAGAATCCTAAGCCAATGCCTCCTCGTCACCTACCTTTACACTCAGCCACACTCCTCGGTTCATTCAAGCTTACCTACTGTACATTTCCTGCCTTCTACTACTCTCCACAGAGCATAACCTACTACTACAGATCATCCCCCGATCATCTCCTCTACACAGATTTCTCCGCTCCCCTCCCGCCCCCCTCTCGTTCTGCTGTTCCTCCTCCTCCTCATGCGATGACTTATACCTTGTTGCTCGTTGCTTTCAAATACCTCGCATCGTTCCACGCCCCCCGCATTGACCAGCGAGAGCAAAGTATAATCAAATGTCTGAAAAAATGTATTCTTTTACGTTCAGTGTCACGTACCAATAAATGTTTACCACGGCATTTTTTCCACACCACGGCCGCGCTCGTCATTTTCCACTCAAGAGCCTCAAAGCACGAGATTTGACTGCGTTGGTGTGTTTGGATATATAATGTCAGCGTCAACGTCATTTTCCATTATGGAGACTTCCGTTCTTGGAGGCATAATAGAGGCGTAGAGCAAAAAAACCATGAGGAAACGGATATTATTGGAAAAATGCCAGAATCCAATCTGCAGTATGTGAATTTACTGCCATGCACATACACACAGCAGCAGCATAATGAGCACACATGTGACCCAATAGCTCCCTAGAGGAAAAGAGATAGTGCATCCAAGTGGAAAAACTTAGTTTGAAATCGAAAAAGCTGATATTTGAGACGCTCATTTTCAAAGGGAAGGATAAACTATTCAAGAATTTTTATCATAAAATAAATGATAAACTAACAGAAATAAAGGTGATTAATTTTAAGCTTAGTTTTGTTCTTCTAAACTTGTTGAGAGATCATAGAAAAATCTGTTCTTAATAAAATATGGAATCCAAAAGGAGAATGTGTCATTTTAGTGCCATCAAAGAACTGTATGCAGTAGGAATGAAGGATGATATAAAGAAGTTGTAAACACTCAGGAGCTATTTTTGACCCCCCGAACTTGAAAAGTCATCGTAAATGTTGACGAAAAATATTTTTGTCTGTTTGCCGGTCAGAAGCCAAAAACAAGTAAATTTGATGAATTATCGAAATTCTGGGATTGCAATCGCGTATTTTCTTAAAATTTCCGGTTTACATAAAGCGACTTCAAAGACATTCTTATCATTCAAATACATTCTTATCAATAGACTCTGATTCAGCGATGACGTCATTGTTTTTCGATCACAGTTTCAAAGAACGGAAACTTATACAAAGGAATGTGTACTTTAACAATATATGCAAGTTATTCTTCTAGATAATTCTAAGAATCGAATCGTGGCAGTCTTCGGTGAAATTGAGACAGTGTCTCCTGGAAAACATTTGACAAAGATTCAAGACACCTTATGAAAGAGATGAGGCCTTCATAAAGTTTCAAAGTCCCAAGAAAATCCAAATCCGATGACGTTGCTAGCATTCACAAAGGAATTGCTCAATTCTGTCTCGGAAGTCGATAACATGAGCGGACCAATCAGAGCCCTCGAGTACGGTAGAAATTACGATCTGACCCTGCAGCCCCTAATTGTGTCCTTACCACAAACTATTCATATGAGCTGCCGCTTCGGCAATGGCTTAATGGATTCTAGACAATTCCCACATAAAAATAATAGTGGGAATCTCACACGCACAAATTTTTTCCACATGCACTGCCTGTAAGAATCTAAAAACAGTGTGGGCTTTGCAGATTAGTGTAACTGTTACTAGTGGAATTCCCACTTTGTGCCTTATTATTTTTATTCCATAACAAAGTGTCAAAGAGATAGTTTTCATCACTTCACACTACCACACACGCTCACTCCCTTTCCAAAAATAAAATTACTTTACTAACAAGGAACTGAGTGGGTTTTCAAGATCTGACCAATCAGGGTCCTTGAGTACGGTAAGAAGCATGGTTCGTCTAGAGTTTGTAGTTAAAATTGTCGGCCTCTAAAATTTTACATGAGTTGCTTTCTGGGCAAGTCTTCATAGGATAATGGCCAAGGCACTGCTTCTGACTGGAAGGATTCCTGTTATACTAATAAGTTCAGATGTATTAGGCTGAAGCAATGACCGTTTTTCCAAAGCTTTTTCAGGACAACTTTTTTTTCCAACAAAATTTCTTCTTTGGGATAACCACTGCATAAGAAGAACTGTTTATGCTCTACCTATAGTTGAAGCCGGTTATCAGCATCATTTTCTAAAAAGTTACAGTGCTTCAAATAACAGCATTCGAAATAAGAATTTTGTTGCATTTTCTGGCCAGAATTCGAGCCCGAATGAGGGCGCTTCTCCAAAAATCTAGCCACTATATGTATAAGAGACTATTAATATTATGCACACTTTAGCAGAAATTATGTAGACCGAGATATCGGCTCCTCAACTTGGGTGATCGTTTTGGTCATTCCGTGGTTCATAAATCTCTTTTGAAAAAGGCGATCGCCAAAACTTTGCTCATTTGTGCAAGCGTAAGGATAGGGCATCTTGTTGACAATTTTTGCAAGAACTTTTAACTTTCATCTGTCCAGTACGCAGGAAATTAGAAAATTCTATAATTTGGGACTTTGAGACCTAATGAAAAATTTTGAAAAAACTGACAATTCTAAATTTTAGTCTTTTCCTTGCAAATTTCCTTTGTCCAGGCCCTTTCCATCTCTTTCTTAATGTTTGTGGCTACAAGATAGGCAACTCATCATTTATACTAACAAACTCTGGAGGAGGTTATGATCTGTCAAAAAACAAGGTTTTAGAAAAAATTGTATTTAATTTTCAACCCTTCTTCAACTCATATCTTTCTGCGCGTTCGTGATGTAAGTATAGCTCAATGTGTGCTGTATTGCCAAAAGTTTTCTGCCTCTAACAGTCTCTACCGCATTTCGACAATATAGATTTTTTAGAAGTTAAGCACATCAAAGTGTGAATTTGCAAAACGGCCATTATATTTGCATCAGTCTAATACAAACGGTTGCAGTTGTTTAGCTTTCAATGACCTAGGAATACTGCATAGCAAAAGTTCCCACGTTTGTTTTATTAGCACCATCAATGAATACAGTATCCAATTGTCATAAAATGGAAATCATTATTTGTCGAAATAAAGCACACAATAACACCCCGTACATTAATAGATCGTTATTGTCACACACACAAAAGAGTCTAAAAGCACCACTTTTGCAGAGAATCCTAAAACATTGTATCATGTAGTTATTCAATCATTAAGAATTACGCAAACAATATCAGTAGTGAGCATTGATTTAAAACTCTGAAACGAAAGTTAACACTATTCTGGTGAATAAGTAGGCGTAACAATTACTTTTTTCCTCCAAATCACTATTTTAACAGTATGATGAGATGAGAATGGTTACTGTAGCGTACGGTAGATCATAGGGGCTAGCTGTTATCATGTGTATCGTCAATGTGCTGTTCCCAGTCTGATCTCGAGTAGAGTTCACAAGATGCTCCTTTACAGTCTCTCAGATATCGTAAACGTTCGCTCAGTTTTTCCAAAACGTCCATGTCTAGGGAGTAGACAACATTGTGAAGCTGAAATAGTCAATATTGCTAGGTCTGGTCTCGGACGAAGGCGGATGATTGCTTCCCGCGAAGAGGCCGCGAGCGCGGCGGTTGCGCACCCACCTGATAAGGATCTTCATTCAGATCGTAGAAGCTCACAAATTCGGTGACAAACTCGCAATACAGGAAATTTTCGTCCTTGTTTATTGTTCGTAAACACCAATATGTGTTGCTAAACAAGAGGGCCGAGGATTTGACTCATTCCAAAGACAGAGAACCTACTTGTTCGAATTTTGACAGAAGCAAAATTGACCATACTCGCCGGGCCAAAGAGGAGGTGTTTTCCAGTGATCAGTGCTATGCAAGAAGCAGTTCATCTGTTGTACGGAACAAGCTGCGCGTTCGGCGTTTGAACCCCTAGAGATAATTTTGAGTAGGTAAAATCCAATCCTAAATGAAGGCGAGTGACCACACAAGCGAAGCGCACGCGAGCGTGAAGCGCGGGCGGAAATCCCAGAATTTAGGCTCGCCAGCGGAAACGAGAACTCTGGAAAGGGGTCTTACCCTTTCTCTTTTTTCTTACGGTGATGGTCCGATGAGACAGTTGGAGGGACATTAAATTCGTCTAGCTTCCTGAAGAGATTTTGACGTTTTGCTATAAGGCATGCACAAGAAATATACAAAGGACTTACAATGGATGAGGCATGTTACCCCGGCACGAACAAGCATTTCGTCGACGACGGGATAGCTAAATAAGGTTCATTGAAGTCAATACAAATATATGCAGCAAAATTTTCGTATTTATTCCATCGCCTAGACCGTACTCTCTCACTTATTGGTTATACGATCTGGGCTAGAGTTCAGAGTTATTTTTCTGGGTCAGGAATGAGTTTGACTTAACTCTAGTATTTTTATTATTTAGTTTACCTTTTCATTTCTTTTCTGTCTGTTGGATATGAGTTCAGTAAGGGCTCCTAATTATTGGGTTGTTTCAAAAGTTCTACCCGTTTTCGATACCTTTTTTTGAACTGTCAATTTTGGAGGAAAAAACCATTTTTCATAAACAGTGCTTATATCATTCAAAAGCTCTTTTCTTCTAGTTTTTCAGGCATATTTTTGTTTTCATAGATCTTTCTTCGCTATGTGGTGAAAAGACAGCGAAACAAATGTGAAAATTTTCGCATTTGCTCTATCGCCGTGAAATCTACAGCCAAAAGAAAAAATTTCTTTCGAAGCAAACATAATGTTTGCTGGAGACTTGTGCTACGAAACGCTCATCGAGATATGATTAAAAATTTTGAACCTACAAATTTTCAGCTCAAACTAGCCTGTCGTTATGGCCCCTTCAAGTCGCATAAAAATCATAAACATATTGCAATCGCGGAACTTTTACGCTATATAGCAAGATTAGAGCTATAACAACTGCTACTAGAAGAACGAAAAGAATTTCTGGTTTGTCAATGGCGAACAAAATCAAAAATGTCAAAAAAATCCATTTTTTGCCGCCTCAGAAAGAGCAAAATAAGTGGGTTCTTTCGGATTTTTTAGCACAAAATTTTTTTGAAAGAAGTTGATGAAATCCAAAGTTAGCGGTACTGCTCAGTCGAGTATGGGCTACACTGTGAGCAGGGCTTGTGCTACTCTATATTCAAACCAAGTTATGCTTTTGCAAAGTGAAGGTTTCTACTAGGAGATGTTCCTCGATTTTCGCCTACAAAATCTTCTCCACTGTTACTGCAATAATCTTGAAGAGTGCGCAGAATAGCCAAAGATTTGCAGATTGTGATACAGTTATAGCAATTGCAAAGATTATTTCTGAGAAGAGTTACGGTGAATCAAAATCAAAGTTCGAAAACGGGTAGAACTTTTGAAACAACCCAATAATTTTGATTACATGTATAGTGTGATTTTCACCCAGAAATAACAAAAAGCAAAACTCACCGGTGAGCTAAAATGGCCTTGATACCATTCTTTATTTCGAACGATGTTGTACTCATGAACATCTCGCAAGAACTCATCCACGAGCTCTGGATTATTTTCTTCTAAAAAATTCTTAGACAAAAATCAATCTTCTTAAAAATATTGTTGAGATAAACTTACCTAAACTCATTGTGCTTCTTTTTGGTCGTTTCTCGGATTTCTCTGCACAAGCACAATGGCGATTCTTTCGCTCACGACATTTCAAAATCCTCCAGCGATCATCAGGAGCGCGATAACACGTCCATTGCTGGATGATAAAAGATAAGATTTTGGGGGAAACACCAGTTGATCAAACCAACAATTTAAAAAAAAATTCCGAATCTCGCTTTCATAAGATTCTCTTGAAACTTGTAAAGAGATAGAAAAAAAAGGAAAGTGGATATACCTGTACTCCACTACATGGTCGTTGCCATTCAGGTTTACTACAAGCCTCATTCAAACGCATTTCCTTGCCAAAATGTTCTTTCTGATTTAACCATCTATCACGAATTTTTCGCAGTTTTGGCATTTTTCTATTATATGTTATAATCGTCAAAGTACCATGGAAAAACATAAATATAGAACGCTTACCCTCTTTCAATCAATACAGTATCCCTCCATGGAGCGGGAAGGCTGGGCTTGTCCAATTCTGAAACGTTCGTGGGTTTTTGGGACACCTAAGTTGCGTATGTGAATTTTTTAGAGGTCTTAGCCAAGCCAATCTCAAAGAACAGCTCATACGGCTCATTTGCGACCAAAAGGAACATTGCATCAGAACGGACCAATCAGAGCGCTTCGGTTACGGTAGAAAGTATGATCTAAAATGGAGTTTACAGCCACATCTCTCGGATGCAAATGCATCATATGAGCTGTCGCTTGGGTAATGGCTCAATCAGGGGCTTCCAAGTTAATCGCACATAAAAAACCCATCAGTTTTGCCTGAATCCTGCCGAACCAAAGTCCACAAACGGCTTTTTATAGCCCGCCTTTTTATTAGTGAAAAGAACATTTTAGCAATAGATTTGGATCAAACTGGCTAGAGTCTCGCCCGTACCACATACTTCCTTGCGATTCAGCCTTCTTCAAAGCGACCAGATCCAGTAAATTACGTCCATCCATATGATCTGGTATCTCGGCACCAGCGATAGCAAGCAAGGTTGGAGCGATATCGACATTCACGACTGGCTCACGGATACTGTAATGCTTACTTTGAGGTCATGTCGGTGGAAAAAGCAGTACCTGAAATTCTTCATCACTCCTGGTCCTCGAAGGAAGAAAGGTACGCGGATATCAAACTCATAGGGCATGTTTTTGCCTTTGATTAGTCCGAACTGGCCGAGATGATAGCCATGATCAGAGGTATAGAAGGCATAAGTGGATGAGAGGTAGTTATGATCTCGTAGAGTGGTGAAAATCTGAAATTTTTGACTTGGATGGAAAGTCTGCAATAATCTTAGTTAGATTCAATGCTATTATATTATATACAAAAAAATTCTGTTACCCACTAGTCAGCTATAAATATATCAAAAAAATCTGTAAAGCTGGTCACCATGTTTTGCTTGTCCAACATTTTAACATTCAAACAACAACGTCCTATCCAACATTTTTTGACAGCTTCTTCATAAACTCCTATCATACCAACGTTCTCTTTATGGACTTCCATAAGTAAGACATAAAAGTAAAAGTTGTCAAAAAAAAATCCATTTTTATGACTGGAAAATTTAGTTGTATTTAGAAGTATCATACAGAAAAACTTTGAGCCTTTACACAAAAAAGCAAATTTTTTTGGATTGTGTGAAAGCAGCTTCAGGTAATTTAGAACCGCTTGAGCAAACGCGGCGCACTAAATGACAGGCATTTGACATGTGGTGTCGCGTAAGTGGTACTGAACGCTGCATTCACGTTAAATGAGAAAGATCTCATTTATTTCAATTTTCTCTGCACTAAGGTTCTGATCAATTTTTGGGTACCACGACTCCCTGAAACTCTTAATTTTTTTTGTAAGCAACTTCGGTTAACTTTTAGAATAAAATATCAAAAAGGACTACTTACATGATGTACACCTTCATCAACGCTTTGCAGTGTTTGCATTCGACGTCGATGCAATAAATCTGTAAACGCAACATGTACAGGTTCCATTTTCCCCGTTCTTTGTAGAAGCCACTGTTTATCCGGGTTTGGCGCATAATTCCATGACTCAGTCCTGAATGGCCCTCTAATTGCATGTGGTTTTCTTATATCAATTCTCACCTGTGTGAGTCGATATCTTCAAACATGTCCGCAAACTGTGGTGCCGGATCTTCTGGCCCATGTGGGGCTGGATAGCTTACCACCAAAAGAAATGGTTTATCGTTATGATTTAGAAAATGTTCCTCGATAAATTTGATGGAGGCATTTGTTACCAAGTCCGTGAAATAGTCCTGAATATTCATGATAAATTCCCTTGATCATCCTTAGGATACGTCAGGAGTTGTCCGCTCCAGCGCTGTTCCAGTGCCGTGCCAGCGGCGTGCCTGTCGATCAATAGTACTGGTCGCGTCCATTTCAATTCCGCGCCTTTCCAGCGCTGTATCAAGATTCATGTAGACGCACCCAGTATTGACCAATAGGGCACGACGCTGGCACAGAGCTGGAACGGTGTTGGCACAATGCCGGCACAGAAGCAACTCCGGAGATGCTAAAATGCCACTGAGACTTGTCATTACCTTCTCGTAGTCCGCACCATATTTGACACGATCTCCATTGAGATTAATGGTGTAATTATAGAATTTGCTATTCTTCACCAATCCCAGCCAATGCTCCCATCCAGGCGGAACATAGTCACTAAATTTCGATAAAATTTAGATTGGTTTATTTGAAAAAATTAATTGAAATCAAAAATTATAAGCAATCAAAATTAAATCAACTTAACTCAGATTTAAAACAAGTTAAACAAAATTTAGAGAAGTGGTCATAAATTTCTAGTGTGATATTGAGCTCTATAAGCAAAACATAGAACATAGTTCGTTTTCGGAACATGTGAACATTTCTCTTGATATTAACGCAAATCTTTTTTCCGTATCAAAAAAAAAAACCAAGAACGTAAGCAACTGAAAAAAAAAGTTTTTTTGCATTTTTTGGAATGTTCCCGTTTCAATCCGGCTATAAGTGCACATGAAGATTAAACCTTCGTTGCGCAAAGTTGGTGTAGAAGCGAATAATGGCTGGCAGAAATAGGTTTCCACCTTTTCCCTTGTCCTTTTTCTCTTTTAGGAAGGTTTTCAAATAGATCAACTTACCCTTCGTACTCATTCAAATACTTGCCCAGGTAAGCGGTTCGATATCCAGCTTTTTGCATATAGATTCCAATACTGCGATGTTCATGAAGTTTCCTGAAAAGTAGATGTTGCAAATATTATCTATCACTTTCAAGCTTCTATATTCTTTCTTCCTTTATACTTTCAAAAGCGCTAAAATTTGGCATTCAAATTTGAAATGTGACTCTTGTTCGGGCGCTTGAGATCGTGCGGCATATAATAATAATGTCAGTCGGATAATTCACAAATGAAAAATTCTTCATTTGTCTACAAGCCCAATACACCCAAAATTGTTGCGCATAAATTTCGTAGTTGAAGGATCCCAAATAGTTTTTAGAAAGCCGAAAAAACAAGAAAACTAGAAGTTGATAACATGGATTTAGAAAAAAAAGGTAATAAAAGATATGTCGGGACGCAGCTATTACCCAACAGCTGCCCGCGATGGAGGTTGGCCTTAGATAAGGAACCTCTGGCAGTGATCTCCGCCCGCCGTCAGGAGACGGTTCCCTCTTCCCCCTTTCCCTTTCCCCTTTTGTAAATAGTTTGCATAATAAACATTATAGTAAGACTTATGTAAACCCCGCTACACATCAGGTAAAGGACTCGCGAACCTTTATCCTGACATGGAAGTCCCAGGGAGATATTTTTTAGAATTCTAAAAGCAGATTTAATTCTAATAAACTTTTGAATAGGGATTTGAAAATTTTAATTCCCCCCCCCCTTCTACAACCCTCCAATCGTATGGAAGGAGTCGCTCACCAACGAATGAGAGAGAGTGTGTGAGTTTTATGCTATTCTATTTACATATTTATCAACAATTACACAAGTATTTAATCATTTCAGAAAAAATAAAATAAAAATATACAGTCCTGCGAACAGTCCCATTATGTCAATTTTCGCTTAATAAATTACCGGAATCCGTGAAAATCTAGATTAAATAGCGCGAGCCGTGAGTCCGTGAATGCCGTGATTTTTTGGAAAAAAGCTTATCCGTGACTTTTTTGGTAGAAATACATGTCCGTGATTCCGTGATCCGTGAGCCGTGATCCGTGAATATCTAGATAAAATACCGCGAGCCGTAATTTATTTTTTTGCAACCGTGATCCGTGATTTTCAATTGATTTTTTTCTTTTTCAATAAGACAATGGACTTGTTCGCAACCGCTAGCATAAAAATACAGATCTGAGGTAATTTCGATCCAGTTCATTACTGGCCCATGTACAGATAATCCTCTGCTGGGAAAAGTCGATAATTACATTCGCTAATGAAATAGCGCAAATGCTTTGACCTCCTAGGCAATTACGACAAACAAGTGCAACTGTCCCAGCGTGTTGACCTTTATCAGTGATAAAGTAGCGCAGCAGCCCGTTCGCGATGTAAGCATTTGACCTCGCCGCAGACTAATAATATTTGCGCGCCACGGTCTAGCAAATGCATAATTGCGCATACTGACCTTTTATGATTGTGATAGGCGTTTAGCAACAACAATCGCGACCGTTATCTGCCGCAACGTCTACTGTTAAGTAATCTGGTTTAATACACTAGTTACCTAGGATGTATCACTTAATCTGGTTTAATACACTAGTTACCTAGGGTGTATTACTATCTCAAGTCATACAAATATGTTTCCTTCTGAAAAACATAGTAACATTGGAGAACTCGTTCAGTTCAACGAAACCACCTTTTGAAAAAAAAAGACTTATTTTTTTGACTTTTGATAGAGTACCACTCTGCTTTTGTCATCCATGATGGCGATTAGGTCCCTGTAAAGGTCCTTTACTATTCGCATCAAATTTGTTTCTGGCATAGCTCCAAATAGCGACCGTACCGTGTCCCATTGGAAGAAAGAAATGAAATAAAGCTCCAAATTGATAGAATTTTAAGGAACGTTCAATCGAACCTAGCAGCAAGTTGACTTCTCTCATAGCTTTTGTAAAGAAAGGATTTGATAAAGATCAATGACTTTTTACTGGTCTTCTCTTCCATTCACAGAACTTTGGAATAAAGTTAACCTCTCAAATGCGCATTCTTTTTCAAACTGGAGTGCAACATCTGGATTTACAATGCAGAAAGGGTACACGCCCTAACCACAAAAAGAAAGGTCGAGAGTATAGCTAATATAATTCCGCGCTCCAAAGACAGTAAAGCACTAAAATCATTCTTAGGTACAACATCGTACTTTCGAAGATTTATAACACGTTTTGCCTTAATTGCCAGCCCTTTGACCGCACTTCTTTATAAAGACGCTGCGTTTATTTGGAAGGAGGAACAACAAAAAGCATTTGAAACACTGAAACAAGCACTAGTGGATGTGCCTGTTTTAGTACCCCCTATTCTAGGGAAACCTTACATCAGTCACACCGATGCATCCACCATCGGTTTCGGTGCATGCCTACTACAAGTCAACCGGTGGCTAGTAGTAAGAATTCAATCTCAATAGGCATCCGCTTTGCAGCCAAGCACGAAAAAAAAGTGTAATTATAGAAACACCAGCATCCATTGCCAGCAACATTTTCATCTTATGTCGCAAATGCTTCTATCACTTTAATCGCTGAGAATGTTAATTCAAAACCTCAAGCATTATACTTCGTGCCTGCCATGCCAGCTAAAAGTGAATACTCATCCATTTCAGAGTTAACCATGACGAATCTGTTAGCCTCAACCATAAGGAACAGATAGCATAACTCAAAGTTAGATGATATTTATTGCTGTTGCTCGAGGCGAAAAATAAATCCAGTAGCCAATTGTCCTTAGAATCTAATTTAGTCACAAAAATGCGCACAAACCATTTTCGAATAATAACATTAAAACACATGCCATTTAAAAAAAATCGTTCTATTAAATTCTCTACCAACAACAGCTAAGAAAACTTGGGATTAGTTTTGAAAAAAAAAAGAGAACATTCGCAATTACTGACACAAAGACGAAATTTTCCCCCATTGCAAAGCAAGTTAATATTTGCAAAATGCGCAAATTTTCAAGTAATCGATTTATATTCACATTTTTTTTTTGAAGAAAGGCTTTTCAAAAGAGAAGCTAGAAGGAAATCGACATGGTCTGAATGTATGAATCTCAAAGTGCTGCTTTGAACAAGTAATTTTTCAGTATATATTCCGAGATACTTTCCTTCATGAGCAGTGATATCCACAAATTTATATCGCAAAAAAAACAATTTTTTCAATCAATTTTTTTTGAAATTTTGAAGGCAGTACTTAATAAAAGTATTTCATTTAAATGCCGTGAATACACTTCTAACTACGGTAGCTTTACCACATTTTTTTGTAGCATTTTCTAACATTTGATGACGGAGTTCTGATATACTTATGCAGCTAAGAAGAAGACACATTTGGAGAGCGATTTCAAAAAAAAATCAGCTCTAACAAGTAAGAACTAGTAACACACAAAAATGAGATTTAAGAATCAAAAACTCCATTTCTAAAAAGTGATTAATACAAATTCGTAGACGCTAATGCTTTCATAGTCTACTCAGCAGCACCTTCGAGATCTTCTTTCATAACCAGACACTTTAGCATAAAACTCTATTTGAAAAAAAAATTTTTTTGGAAAAAAAACTAGTTTTGGGAAGTACTTCTGCCAATTTGAGAATGTAGTATTTTGCTGGAATATCTGAATTTGAAAGAGTATAAGAAACATAGAGATAAAAATGCCAAAATGCTTTATCCTTTGAAAAATCTCATTCTTTCCAAAGTAACAGATCTGTAGACCCTAAAAAAAATTATCCCAACGTAGACAAGCATCAAATATTTCTGCTTTGAACTTGTATTTGCGAAAGACCATTAAAAAAACCAGCTTAACATAAATATGAGCCACACTTTTAAGCCATTTGAACAAATTTTTTATTATCCCGAGTGTTCATGTAATCAAACACAGGAAGCTCTGAAAACCAGCATCAAATAAATTTCTAACTGAATAAAAAGCTTAATATTTTTGCTAATCTATAAAGAGTAAATGCAGCGAATTCCAGTCCAGAGCTTATTTGCGAAAAACGACTACTATTCTTCCTATGAATTAGACGATTAGAAAGACTCAAGAATTTGCAACATCTAGACGTGATGCAGATATAAAGTACAAATGTTTTCAGAGAACATTTTCGTAAAACAAAATTTTGAAATAATCTCCTCACAAATTTCAAGTTGTTTAAAAAAAACAATACAAATCACTTTGTATTCCGATCTTCCTGCTCATTCCTATGATATGATAGTCAGGCACGATCTTTCCTTTGAGCTAATTCTCAGTTGACATCTCAGGCTACAACTTTAAATTACCCGTAACAGAGCACCATTCAAAATTTGAAACCATATCGTTTCCATTTTCAAGATTTTTTTGCTGAATGTTAGTATGGTATTGATTTATAGTTTATGCAACTTACCAAAAAAAATTTTTTTTCTAAAAATATAGTTTGGAAATTTGTATAGGCGACCGGAACAGAATGATTTAATTTCTAGAGATATTTGACATATTGATCATGAAACCATTCCAAAAGTTTGCGATTTACTATTTTTACACCATATGTCACCATCTATTTTCAAAATGAGTAATTTGTTCTATAATTTCAGTGCAATCCATCTTAAACCATACAATACAGTCGGAAGGCTTGATGCCATGTTTTCTATACTGTTTCGTCACTGATTATGAAGCTCTTCATTAGAAAAGAATGGTCGCCAGACATATGTCTGCGAGAACTTACATGCATTTTGAAATCAGCAGAAAATACTTATCTAAAATCAAGCCCCGCGCAGAAATCACAAGTTTTTGAAATTAGCCACCAGTCATAGTTTTCAACACTCCACAAAGCATTCTCAGTTTGCAGCAACCTTTGTAACTCCAAAGATTATTCAAAAGAATTAAAACTTGCCTATGTCGGATCTTTTCAAAAAAAATCTGAACACTGATTTTATTTAATTATACCTACCGTTGCTCTAGCTCAATCAGAAGCTCGAACCAGTAAATTTCAAAGATTTACAAAGCAGTCAGTTTGAAACAAACAGCAATGCTTGAAAGGATTTTAGAACCACTTTCGTTTATAAAATTACATTTTTGAAAACCTCAAAGAATCCATTTGAGATGGTCAAGTCTGACCGTTTAAGATCAAACGAAATATCGCAACAATTAAATTTTGAGCTCTCACCTTGTAAGCAAATTTAACGTTACTGACGTCACGTCTCAGATACATGCCAATTTTTTTGTAAAAGGAAAAATACAGTTCCGTTGTGTGGTAAGAGCAAAATTGACGAACCTTGGAACCACTCAAGACATCCGCATCTCTTGGATTTAACGACAGAAAACAGCTCTGATCAAGCCTCAATTTCTCAAAGTCAACATCCAATCAGCTGTAAGTTTTGCTAGAAATTGCTGACGCATAGTTTGGCATATCATTTACTACTGCATCAGGTTAATCATGAGGATAGATAGATATTCAGACGTGGATTTTCTTCCCTTTCCAAAAGATTTCCAGTTTTCTCAATGAACGTGCAGAGCAAAATACTAGCGTGATTCAGATCAGTTCTCAAATTTTAGCTTTTCTATACAACATACATAAAGGTTTTAATACCAAAAAAAAACCAAATGTTTTTTCTAACGAGCTTGACTTCAAGATTTAAAAAAAAAAAGCGCGAAATGACTAAATTCAAAAAGAAATAAAAATGGACATGCTATTGCTAAGAACAATGGAAGATCGCAGTTTCTCCAGTTTTGTGCAGCTGCACAAACCAAGTCTGCAACAGCGCAGTATTTTCAGCGAATATTTTTTGTAGCTGATTGGAGATTGTTTTCAGAGAACAGCTCCTCAATCAAAACGCTTCACAGAAGAGATTTGCTGTCAAAAAAAAATTCTCAGTGCTTTTGAACATGTTGGATATCCAGATTGAAATTCTAATCGGAAGCAATGACAGTTTTTTTTTTTGAATAGTGTTCAGCCCAAGCTGACTACACGCAAAATAAAGCACATTCTTTGTTTCAATCCAGACGTTTTCGGATTGAAGTCTCAAGGAACTGTGCAAATTGTTTCCATTTCCACCAGTCCTCATCTTTCTTCATAGAAAATAATGATGATATACCCTTTATGAATTTCAGCAAAATTCAGGAACAATCATCCTATAGAATTTTCTGTATTGGATTTGGACGTTGAAGAAACATAGATAGCTTTCACGATTGCATGTTAGTAGTGAATTAACACACATGATGTTGAGATCATTTCCGCTGAAGTTTTCATACTTATAATCACAAGCTACCAATCGTAGTTTTTGCAGCGGAAGCGTTCTGGTAGTACATTTCTATGCTAACTATTGTTGTGTCTGATTCAAGCTGTACAGTTCGATCTGCGATTCCATCTTGTAAATATCGGTTATCGGCTAATGTTTTCCAAACTTTAAAAAAAAGCATCGAAAAAAAAGGAAAACATCAGAAGATGAACGATGTCATGTTTTTGTTCATGATTGTAGTCTTGAAATCAGTTGCAAAACTACAAGACAATTTTTCAACGCAATCAGTTAACAAAAAATCTGATTAACGGCGTTTCTTTTTTTTGCCCTCGCGATTTTTTATCACGTGAGTTTGTTTACATTTATTTTGTCGCAACGCTGCGTTTAATACATATATGCCTCAATTTCTTTGAACCGGCAATTCAAAGAATGAAAAAAAATTCTCATACTAGGCAGCGAAAAAAAAATCCCCATTTTTCTAACACTCAAAATCTGCCACTAGGTTGAATTAAACACAGTTTGTTGTGCTTAATTAAGCATATCTTTTTTTTCGTTATGTAAACAATCGCATTATTTATACGTTGTATAACCATATACTCGGTATAAATTACACAACGCCTTATTATCACATGACCTAATCCACTTGTCGCTCAATTAATTCATGTAAGATATAACTTCAGAATTACAAATGTCATCTACCGCTTAATATTTTTGTTAACTATGTAATTTTCGCTAATTCATGTAAAATATAACTTCAGAGTTACAAATGTCATCCAATACCGCCTAATATTTTGTTAACTATGTAATTTTCGCTCGCCAAGCTGTTTTTATTCATGTTCTAAACAAAAGCTGTTTCCCTCACCCAATTTCCACCTACTACTCTTCAAAAACCAGTCACGTCATCACACTCCTAGAATCTCCACACAAAAGTATTTCCATCCGTCAGTCTCCGAAAGCATGCCTTATCCATGCAACTACATGTCACTGCCATTTCCAAGCAGCTCCTAACGTCACATCCTCCATTTTTATTTCTCAGCTTGAGGACAAGCTTACTCAGTACCCCCAGGATGAGGTGAAGGATGTTGGTTGGTTATCCAGCTCGCCTAAATCAAAGTCCCTACTCGATCGATATAAATCTGAAGATAATGGTACCGAATTCGAAGTTCTCTATGGTCTCGCCGTATCACGTGTATTCTAACACACGTAACTCGGAAGACAGTTCAACAAAAGCCAAACAAGCTCGAGGACGAGCTTTCTGAAGGAATGGAGATGTCGGGACGCAGCTATTACCCAACAGCTGCCCGCGATGGAGGTTGGCCTTAGATAAGGAACCTCTGGCAGTGATCTCCGCCCGCCGTCAGGAGACGGTTCCCTCTTCCCCCTTTCCCTTTCCCCTTTTGTAAATAGTTTGCATAATAAACATTATAGTAAGACTTATGTAAACCCCGCTACACATCAAGTAAAGGACTCGCGAACCTTTATCCTGACAGATACATTTACAGTATTTTTTTATTTCTACTCAAGTTCATTTACTTTGCAGAAATTTTCAGCGCAGTTCATATACAGAGCCATGCCTGACGGCGCACTAAGTAAAGGACGTTTGTCATTTGGTGTAGCTTAAAAGAAATTGAAGAGGTTTTGCACGATGAAGTTTTGGCAACGTTTTTTCTCCTCTGTTTTCCTGACATATCAAAAAAGATGAATCTCCACCTGATAAAAATGAATAAGCATCAATAACGCAGCGATTTTAGCTTACACAACATTAGACGTCAAAAGCCTGTCATTTAGCATTCGGTTCTGAATTTACAGGTCTGTACGCAGATTTATAGATAATAATTTACATTCAATAGTATTCCATACCTCCATTCATCTCCTGAACAATTGTGATTGTTAGTCTGAACATTATGATTGTGTACATACATTCCAGTTAATAAACTTGATCTGCTCGGACAACAAATAGGTGTGGATACGAAGCTAAAGCAACAAGGGATGACTTTTCTATATTTTGAGCGGAAAATTCAAAATTATCTACCCACCCGCCTTTGAATTCTGTACCCTTTTCCTTCATTAATCGTAGAACTTTTGGCATGAAATTCATAGATCCTAATTCGATGTCTTGATCATCAGTAATTATCAATACAACGTTTTTCTTTCTGAACAAAAATTTTGAGGCTCAACAGATTTTCAAAAATTCAAAAACCTACATATCGTAATGGAAGCAAGAAGATCGAAGTAGAAGTGTAGCAAGAACTGGAAACAGCGCTGTTTCCCATCCCATAGTTTTTCTTGAGAAGTTTCTTAATCTGAAATGTGGACAATGATATGAGACTCTGAAAAACTTGCAAAAAAATTACGATAACAAGGCGGAGAAGCTACCAAAAGTTCTCTGAAGAAACTATTCTAAAAGGAGAAACTATTCTCAGATTCATAACACCCGCTAATGAGGTACATACTTCGGCAGAACCCGAAGACGGGAAATGCGGGCTGAAGGGGCGGGCCTAAACAGAGGTTGGGAACTTTTTATGAGGAAGAACAATTTTGTGAATGAAGTTATGAGCTTCGTACGTAGGCATGAGATAGCGGGGCTAGAACGGTAGAAAGGAACAAGGTTTTCGAAAGGGCCTGGCATAGTTCAAGCGATTTCAGTCGCGACGCGATTTGGCAATTCCAACTGTCCATTACTCATTGTAAGCACATTTCAAAGGCACAGAAGATAGGGCATTCTATAATTCCACGTAGGTTATACATACTATGCATGTGCAGTTTGCTAATGTTGAATTTGAAGACTTCTGGCGAATTTCCAAATCGCGTGAAGTATGCCCGGCCTCTAAGCTAATTTTGGGAAATTATCAACTGAAGGAGGGCACAAGAATCTATAAATTTATTTAGAGAAATTCTATTCCCATCAAAATTCCGCAAATCCGCTTTCACCAAGCTGAACCTACTTATTGTTAGTCAATCGGATGCCGTGAGGGACTAGCGATACTAGCGATACCATCGCATAACCCATTCCGAATCCTACGCGCAATGTGCATGATGCGTGCAGTTGCAGATACTTCGAAATACGGAAGTCTAGTCAAACTTTGAAACTCAAGTGCACCTCAGTTTCCACAGTTTCTGACAACGCTACAGTATGGTGTGAATCGTATATTGTTTCTTGTATATGTATGAGATAGAACGCAGCTCAGATATTGTTTTTTGTAATTTGCTCAAAGATCCGGCAGGTTTATGGATTACATCCTTAGGCTTTTGTATTTTGAACTTATTAGTTACTGCTTCGAGATTTCCAAAATCAAAAGCTCTTTTTTTCGGATTAGGGGGAAAATTTAAATGGAAGGGAGGATCAGCTAGTCTATCAGAAAGAAACTTGAATGAATCTATTTTTTAGCGAACCCATAATTTATTAGAATAAACTGTTTCAGAATTTTAAATCCTTCTGGCTATCTTCAAGCTTTCAAAGAAAATGGTCCTCGAACTTTAGACGTAAAGCAAAGTACATCTGCATCTACACACTAAATTCAACATAGGCGTCGCGCGTCTGTACAAAATTTTCACTTTTTTGAAATTTTTACCAGCGACCCAATGGCTAGCAGGTGTGAGAAATAGTCACCAAAGCCTCGTATAACACTTTTTCAATGCCGTAAAAGCTAATAAACTTTGTCTAGTGATGTTTTCATTGAGAAATTCTGCTGGGAAAGCATGGTGCGCATATAATTTTAATGACGAATGTACGACTGCTTGCAGAAGAACGTTCACTTTTTGAAATTTTTATTATAACAGCGGGGAATGGACTTTGATTTGGACACGTGGTTCCACATTTTGTTCGTCTTTGTTTCATTTACAGCGTCTAGCGAATTTTTTTAGGGCCGCTACATCTGGCTGGGCTTTCAACTTTTTGTAAGTTTTGTAAAATTCCTCAAACGCAAAGATTGATGTGATGCATGTGATTGGAAACATGTGGCTAGTTATGCTATGCATATTGTTGCAAAAATTATGACAGATGTTCGTTGGATGTGGAATGGAGGAGATATCGTGAATTCTGAACTTTGGAGTGTTTGATGGATGTACATCTTGGCATGATTTTAGTGCCATTTTTGCCTGAATTTTCACTTATCTTGATTCACTGAGAGGAGAATAACAATTTTTACAATTTGAGGATATAGAAGGTGTTTCATATGATCAGAAATCAGAAAGTAGATGAAAGAACTGACCGCGTATAGAAATGGGCTCAGTAAATAACGGCGACCACGGATATGAGAGTTTAAAGCAAACGCGTGCACTCACCGAGACCTCACCGCGCTCGGACCTCCTCCGGACCGCTCGCGACGTCGCCATATCGCGCCACATCGGTTTCTTTTCTTCATAACTCCCCTTTTAAAATTTTTTTCCACAGTATGCTGTTTAAAATTGCAACGAAAGATACCAAGAAAGCAAAACTAATTTCTACATGATATGCAGGGTGTTTGTTTCCGCATGCTAAGCAGTACTTGGAATATCACGGTCTACTGAAGCAATCACAGTCTTCCACACTTCAGCAGTTAATTCGTGTAATTGCACTATTTTTTGGTCTGCGCTGGCAAATTGATGGGGAGAGACAATGATGTGAACCTAGATTGACGAAACTCACTTTTTTGTTGCTCTAAACTGTTTTCATAATCTGTAGCTATACAGTCTGTAATACTCACTTGCTCCTTCTCCATTGCAACTACGCATCCGCAGCGCGTGCACTGCGCAGCGGTATCCGCGCATAGTTGACACAGACCATATTTACCACCATTGACCTCCTGAATGCTGTATTAGTGTAAGTACAGAAAGTGACTGTGAAATGAAGACGACTGTATTTGCACGCCAACATGCAGCAGTATGAAATTGTGCACATGCATTGCCTCTTCGGTATCCTTAGGGCCCCGGCCAGACTCCCCTCAAACGCGCGCGAAAGCGCTCAAACGCGCCCAAAAGCGTCTAAATTTCCCTAAGCTCTCTTCACGTTCTCTATTTCTCCTCACCTGAAAAAGTGAAGAGACATTAGAGAGATGTCGCTTTTGGGCGCTTCTAGGCGCTTTTGAGCGAAGTCTGGCAGGGCCTAGGTGATTTTAAAAACTTATCCTTTCTATTTTCTCTGTCACCCTGCATAAGGCTACTTTTACGTGCGTTCCTTTTACACGCGTTTATGTTCGTGTAGCGATACAATCATTTACCGGTGTATTATTTACGTTTGCTTACAGGTACCCTTAGCGCTGAAAATGCGCACAAAAATAGACAATCGGATACGAACACTCATCGAAAATGGTGTTGCCAAGGGACATCGAAGCATGTTTGTCGTTGTCGGAGATAGAGGAAGGGATCAGGTAGTAGACGGTTTTCGAACTCAATTTGACCTTTCGGTTCCTTACAACTTGCAAATTTTCACTTGTGAAGTTTTTTCAATGATATTCTAATGCAATACTTCCTTTCACAGATCTCCGTTCTTCATCATATTCTGTCGAAAGCTGCTGTTGCAGCGCGGCCTACCGTATTGTGGTGCTATAAAAAGGAGTTAGGTTATAGCTCCAACAAGAAGAAGCGAATACGACAAATACATACGAAGTCGTCAATAAGCACTATAACGGTACGTTTGAGGTCGCCTCTCCTCCAAATTCCACTTTTTGATTTAGACTCTGAATCTTTCTATAGACATATCTTATTTTATCTTTCACTTCAGGAGGGCGATCCGTTCGAAGTTTTCATATCCACTACAAAGATTCGCTATTGCTATTATAATGAGACACAAAATATCCTTGGGAACACTTATGGAATGCTGGTGTTGCAGGTATGTTTGCTTTTTAGAGCTTTTTGGTATAGTATAAATGCGCTTCTTTTTATCCAGGATTTCGAGGCACTAACGCCAAATTTATTGGCTCGTACTATCGAGACCATAGAGGGGGGAGGTATTGTAGTCTTGTTGATGAAAACTGTCAACTCATTGCGGCAACTGTATACGATAACAATGGTAAGCATGCTCATTATCGCCTCATACTGTTCTCTCATAGCACTTTCTTTTTAGGATGTACATAATCGCTATAGGACAGAGTCTCATACACAAATAGTAGCTCGATTCAACGAGCGGTTTATACTCTCGCTTGCAAGCTGCAAAAATATCGTCGTAGTCGATGATCAGCTGCATATCCTGCCAATCTCTGGTCACATACAGTCGTTGGAACCGGTTCAACCTTCCGTGAAGGTATGTCCCAACCTCAAACCTAACTCACAACAACCAATTAACAACCAATTATCGATGCCATCGGTGTCTAGGGTGCACTGTCAGCATCTGAGGCAGAGCTAAAAGCTCTCAAAGAAGGCATGAAGGATACGAAACCTGTTGGACCATTGCTTAATAAGTGTCGAACTGCTGACCAGGGAAAAGTTCTTCTCAGGTAACGCTCTTATTTTTATAAATTATGTGCTTGGTCCGGAATTATGTCTGTTGGATCTTGACCCGTGCATTTCAGGCTCCTTGATGTCATTACTGACAAAGATTTGAATGTCACTTGTTCTATTACTGCAGCCAGAGGGCGAGGAAAGTCAGCCTCATTAGGTTGGTGGGTTAACTTGATTTTGCTTCTTTTCTACAACGACCATCATTTTTTTACTCACTTGATCGCCTACAGGTCTGGCCCTGGCTGGTGCAGTTGCATTCGGGTACTCGAACATCTTCGTTACATCGCCATCACCTGAAAATCTAAAGACGCTTTTCGAATTTGTAGTCAAAGGCTTTGACACGATGGGCTATCAGGTTGGTTTCTTTCTATTTTTTCTGTCAGTAGTTGTCACATTGTTCAGGAACATATCGACTTCGAGCTTATCCAGTCTACTAATCCTGAATTCCAAAAAGCTCTCGTCCGAGTGAATGTATTCAGGGAGCATCGACAGACAATTCAGGTAAGAAAAACATGTTTTTTTGACTTCGTTCAATATTTGATTCCAGTACATTCACCCATCAGATGCTGGAAAGTTAGGGCAAGCTGAACTGGTAGTGGTTGATGAAGCTGCTGCTATACCGCTTCCATTGGTGAAGGAGTTGATTTTTGGTAAGGTTTTGACAATATTCATACCGTTGGAATGATTGTTTGCTGATTTGAGGTCCATACATTGTGTTTCTATCATCCACGATCAATGGCTATGAGGGAACTGGTCGCAGCTTATCTTTGAAACTTCTTCAACAACTTCGACAGCAGTCTGCTGGAACTGCTAAGGGAGAGAAATTAGCTGCAAGCAAAGGTATGCGCCAGAAAGCTAGATTCCTATTCCGGAGTTCCCATTCTCAGGTAGAAAGCTGCACGAGCTCACTATGGAAGAAAGTATAAGGTATAAACCTGGCGATGAGGTAATTTTCTTTTCTTCCGTTCATGTTATTTGGGATAATATTGTCATTATTTAGATTGAGCAATGGCTTAACCGCGTTCTTTGCTTGAATGCTGCCAATATTAATACAAAGCTATCATGCGGGACTCCACCTCCAAGTGAATGCGAGTTGTAAGTTTTTCTTTTTACGTAATAAAGGCTACTCAATCGTTTTCCAAAAGTTTTTTCCTTTTAAGATAGACATATCATATTGAACAGATCTTCTTTTTTAATGCATCATCTACACAGAGCATGAAGTCCTTTATATTTATCGTTCTTTGATTTATGTTTCGGAACTTCAGATATTTCGTGAATCGCGATACGCTGTTTTCATTCCACAAAGCTTCGGAGCAGTTTCTACAGCAAATAATGGCAATTTATGTTGCCGCTCATTACAAGAACTCCCCTAATGATTTGCAGGTAAGCCGTATTTGCTTTCATCGGAGACCACTATTATTTGCTCGTTTAAGATGCTGAGCGATGCTCCTGCACATCATCTTTTTGCATTGATGTCACCCGTAAAGGAAGATCAGTCATCTGTACCTGAGGTTGGAACTTCTTCATTGGTTGTTCATCTCGGCTATCTGCTTGAATTTAGGTATTAGCCCTAGCACAAGTTTGTCTTGAAGGAAATCTTTCCGAAGGGACTGTTGCGGGAGCTCTAGGTACTGGAAAGCGTGCAGCAGGTGATTTATTGCCGTGGACTATTTCACAGCAGTTTATGGTATGCCTACTGATCAAACCGACTGTTTATTTTTTTGGAAATTTATCACATAATCCTAGGACCGTGAGTTTCCGACCTTATGCGGTGGTAGAGTTGTTCGAATAGCTGTGCATCCGGACTTCCAATCTATGGGTTATGGTTCACGAACCCTTGAACTGCTTGAGGAGTACTACTTAGGTCATGTACCTTCTGTAGAAGAGAATGTCAAGGAAAGCGTGAAGACAGTGAAGGTATCAGAAATTCTTTATCACTTGTTTGCACTTTTGATAATGGCGATATTTCGACGTATGAAGGTGTGAATGTCATTGCTGGGAGTTATTGCTTTGAGTTTTTTCAAACCTTTTCTGCAATCTGCTATGCAGAAAAATTTTAGGATGGAAGTACAGTAGCTCTCTTGGAAGAACAAATAGCCCCTCGCACTGATCTCCCTCCCTTATTGATGCGCCTAAGTGAAAGAAAAGCTGAGCGATTGGATTACTTAGGTTAGTTTTCCACGATCTTCTTAAGTCCATCTGCAGCTTTTCTCCAATTTTGTTTAGGAGTGTCTTTTGGTTTAACCTTGGATCTCTTGAAATTCTGGAAAAAGAGCGGTTTCGTTCCGGTGTATTTGAGACAGACGCCTAGTCCCCTTACTGGAGAGTACACATGTGCTATGTTAAAGCGACTAAACGGTATATTCAGGCTGGCTTTCAAAGTTGATCCAGGTTTTGCTATCTCTAACATTTCCAGAAGAAAGTGATGCATCTTCTTCTTGGTTGGCTGCGTATTTCCGTGAATTTCGGAAGAGGCTTCTTTCTCTATTGTCGTTTGAATTCAAGAAGTTACCTATCAACTTGGGCCTATCTTTATTACAAATTCGGAACAAAGAGGTCCAAGCGGCGCTGCAAAGTGATCGGAAGGGTTGGTACATCGTTTTAACTATGTTAGATATCTGGTCTGAAACCATGATGCATTCAGTCATCACTCGGGAGCAATTGTCAATGTTTTTGTCCAATGTTGATCTCAAGCGGTTATCGGAATACGCTCGTAATCTGGTCGACCATCAAATGATCACTGATTTGCTTCCAACCATCTCAAAACTATATTTCGGAGATAATTTGAGAGAGATTGTAGGTTATCAGTTGATAAATATTTTGAGGCAATTTTTGTTGTTCCTTTTCGCCTTTTCATGACTATCTTTATTTACTCAACTCGTATCATAATTACGTTTTCTTCTTAGGTAAAACTCTCAACGGCTCAAGCTGCTGTTCTGTTGGGCCTTGGGTTGCAACATAAGAGCGCAGAAACTGTTCAAGAAGAGCTGGATCTTCCTCAGAGTCAAGTAAGTTGTAGTTACATTTATCACTGCCTTTCTTGAATGTTTACCTTGCAGGTGTTAGCTTTTCATTCGAAAACAATAAGAAAGTTATCAGAAGAGTTTGACGCTATCTGCATGGAATCACTTCGACAGCTCATCCCTGACAAGACGCGTGATCTTGACAAGGAGGAACAAGCAGCGGCCGTGGCTCGGCTGAAGCCGCTAGCTGAAAGTCTCGAGGTGCGTTAGGGCTTCTCATATCTTTTGGTATTGATGCATGTGGCCAACAAAATGATCTTAATTTGAGGACGAGCTGAACAAAGCTGCTGAAGAAATCAAAGTACGACAGTTAAAGGATAAGAAAGCTCTTTTGGAAGAAACAGAAGGTGATCTATCGCAGTATGCTATAAATGCTGACACAAAGACCTTGGCCAAGGTGAGTTCAAGTACTTCGTTTTCTTCATTTAGTCAAATCACAATTGTTCAGGCTAGTGATATTAAAATGATCTATAGCCGAAAGCTGGCAAGTGGAAAAAGGTGAGGAATTTATCTGTAAGGAAGTCGTGTATTTCATGTTATTAAGAAATTTTCATATTGATCTTGAGTTCTAGAAAAGATTCAAAAGAAGATGGTGGACCAACTAAGAAAAAGAAAATGTTCAAGAAGAAAAGAATGATTTGATGCCAGTGGGTAACTTGTCGTCATAGTCAGCTTTGTTTCAAATTTCTTTAGTTTTCCATGTGAAGGTTGTTGATACGTTGTTGTACCTTGTTGTTATGTTGTTACACTGTTAAATATCGCTTATAAAATCTTTATATTAATGTTGAGCTCCAGAAGAGAATCACAGACACGTATCGATCATTTTTGGTCCATTCGAGTAGGGCAGGAGGCTACAGCTCATCATGCCCTAGTCCGGAGGACGTAAGTGTTTTCATTCTTTGACGTAATTCGCAGGGAACAAGGCGACTTTGTCACCGAGTTTTCCTTGCCACCAACCGGAATCATCTAAACACATCTTATTTTGTCAACAAATAATGTCAAGAAGTTGGTTAAATTGAATGCGTACGCTTTTGCATGAGTTCAATCTCATCTCCCACTCGGAATGATAACTCGTCCGTGTCTTGCGCATCATAGTCATATAAAGCTCTGACAATCGGGTATAACCGTGGTTTCGCTGGTATTTTAGGCTTTCCTGGCCGAGGTGCGGGTCGAAGCGCCTAAAACGGGGTCTGTTATGGTTGTTCAAATTTTTGGTTCTGCAAGCACAGACGCATTGCAAACTGATTAACCACAGCAAAGCAAGCTTTCAGTGAACTTTAGCTATCACACCAGCACCTGGTTTCTACTTTAACATTCACTATCTCAGAACCTAAACCTAACGCTTAGTAAACTCCAAACTCCTCTTCCAAGCTCAAGCTATCATTTCTTGCTTATTAGGTTATGTGACAAGGCTAAAAATTGCGTGAAGAAAGGCGTTATAGCAAAGAGATTGGCATCTCTTTATTATGCATTGCTGTAAACCTACGTTAGATGAATTTATGCGTAAATTAGTAGCGGGCGATACATTAAAGCTGCGATTGTGAGCTGACACTGGAACGGAACTTCCTCGAAATTCTATGTAATTGAAGATCACTTACTCCTCTCAACTGTCCCGGACCTTGGACTAAAGCTGTAGGAACACCGCCATATCGAGCTGCTGGATTTGTTGCATGTGGAGGATTTGTTGCATGTGGAGGAACTACGTGATTAGCTAGAAATGATTTATGAAATTTTTACTTGAATTTGGACATTTCGCACTTCTACAGTACGCTACCGTGGTTCATGCCATTAGGCGCCGCCTCTCGCAATCTGGGTAGGGGAACGAAAGCCGCCAGCTTCGGTCGCCTGCGCGGACTGCTGGTCCTGGAACGACATGCCACAACGTTGCGAAAAGACCAGTTAGCCGCGAAAGGCGGCTCATACTGGCGGCTTTCGTTTCCCTACCCCTCGCAATCTTGATAATTTTACGAAATGCAAGGTATCTGCCCAGGACCACTAGTCCACAAAGGCGGCGCCCTTGGTGGAATACTAGGCTTCGAAAGACTTACCTTCTGAATTTGCACTTGACGTCGTAGATTGATTCCAAGACGAACTTATTGATTTATTATCTATACTAATATCGCTCGGTCGACGATCTGTTATCGATGAAGGGAGCTGGAAAGAGAAACCGTTAAAATTTCTGCTATGAGTCTCGCTTACAAAAGGCGAAAACCTTTTCTAACCTCATTTGTCATTCCATTATAATTACTGTACATTGGTTGCGCGTGTGGAAGTGGTGCAGGAGCATTGCGATGTGTTTTTCGAGTTGATGTTCTAAGTTTATCCACTCTTCGTTGATAACCCGTAGATGGACGTTCTAGCGCTGGCCCTGGAACGATTACCTTCGAATTCTTTTGCTTGTCATGGAGCAAGTCAAAAGTATGGTTGTTAGTGCCTTCCATAGAATATAGGAGATTACACTAAACTCAGCGCAGGTTATGCGCAGGTTGCGCCCGCGTAGCGCTTATAAACCGTGCCGCTAAAGCTGGCGCAAAACGGGTGCACACCTGTCCCTACATTATTGAAACGATATGCGAGTACAAACATTGTACTGTCCATATTTTGACAAACCAAAATTGCAACCTACTTGTAGTATTCGGAAGACCATGTCCAATCGTAACATGGAGGACTTTCCCAACCGGCTTCAGCTCAGGCTCCTGGCTTAGACCGCCAGCATGGAATGTGATTTGCCGAGTACCTCCTCCAAATTTGGATTTCTTCAAGATGATAGTGTGAGTTGTTGCAAATTCAAGTTGTAGAGTGCCACCTCGCGTTCGTTCTTTGAAGTGTTTACTGAAAAAAAAACAAGAAAAATTCGAGACATATAAGGAGGTGTGGCTTATTTCATGCCAAAATTATATAATTTATTTTGCTGCAAGCGCTGAATCGGCGATATCGCTGTTGTATGATCAGCGGGCAATGAGTTAGCCTTTATCTCAACGGGAGTGTCGCACTCGTGCGGCTCGAATGACCGCTCGCATAGACCCTGCGGCGCGTCTAGGAACTTATCCTCTACGCATTTTTCACGCCCGCCAGGCTATAATCCTCATTCAGGGCGGAAAAATACCCATAGAATACGTCGCAGACACCGCGTAGCGTCCGAAGCTGGCACGCGGGTTTTGAACCGCATGAGCCGGGGACACTTTGAATGAAACAGAACGTATCTGCCCAAGAATTTTGTAGCAGATTAACTGAGCTTAAAAATGTATAAAAGTAAGCAATGACTACCCACCTCAATGCAGTAAGGAATTCGGTCTTGAAAGGTGTCTCCACTAGAGAACTGTAGCTTTCCCGGACATTTATAACCATGAAATCATCTTGGTAAGGTGAAAGACCAATAGACAAGATATGCGCGATGTCAATTTGCCTGAATTTTACAAAAATTTTAGTCCGTTCGAACTTAATGTATAATCCGTTCATCGCACGCAGAGACAGGGCGCCACTGCGGACACTACATTCGTCTGCTGTCTCACAACACAGCTGTCTTGATTAGACGCAACAGCGCCGATTCTCTGCGTGCGATGAATAGCCTATAGATGCTTGCGCATACCGCTTGATAATTTCCACCAGCTGCCCTTTAGTCGCTTTCTCCTTGGATTTTGTTCTTCCGATCATAGTAAGCTGTTTAGCCGTTAAAAGTAGATCAAGTTTGCAGGGCTGGAAAATAATAGCGAATTTTTTACAACACTGAGTAGTAGTAAGTATTTTCCCTTACCTTAAATCGACGATCGTATTTATTTACAGTATGCGCAAAATCCACCCGCTCTCGCTTGCCAACAAGACTCTGAAAGTTGATTTCTGGTAAACTATAATTGACTGAATAGAAAATTACCTGCAGAGCTGGATGATGTTCCAAACCGATGTAATCGCCTACGAAATTTCTGTTCAAGGTGAATCGACGACGTTCTTTCTTTCCGAAGAGTAGGTCACATGCTTGTTCCTTGATAAAGAAAATGCTCAGACTGCTCTCGACTCAATGAAAAAGCTGTAGCAAACAAAAAAGAAATTTTTGCAGATTTTCGAGGTATCTTTCGTCATCCGACCCCATCCGAAAAAAATGGTAACGAACGGATAGATCCCTAGAAAAATTCTTGTTCTTAATTTGATTTGTAATTTTGCCACCCTGAGTTAACTCTTACATCCTGGCCACCTGGCTTCTCTTTCTCTAGATTGTGGAGTTAAAACATATCAAACAGAAAGCACACAAACCTCTTCCACTAATGACATTAGCCAGATATTAAAACGGCAGTCCAAACTCATTATTTACGAATAAGAAATGCAGTGTATTTTTTGTCATGGTTTTGAATGTTTTCAGATCTTATCTTTAGAAGTGCTCTACATCAAATGACAAGAGACACGAAGTCAATTACTCTATTGATTTTCCCTTTTTTTATATACTGGCAATGAAGCGACTTTGTTCTTTGGGACTAATTCGCAAGATCTTGAAGGCAGCGTCCAGGCAAATTCTGGGCTACTTCGGTTAGTATCTAGTCTACTAGTAGTCCTTAGGAGTATGTAGGGCATCTGCGATGATTCGGTCCTCTAATGAGGCCTCTGAATGGAAAAATGGACCTAGAACCGCGAAAGTGATATCAAGCCACGCCCGTCCTATCAAGCTCCGCCCACTCAAGTGCTTAAGGGCGCCTGTGTTCAAGATGGGATTCTCAGAAAGGTTTTGGGGGATTTTGCACACTCCGGACTTCATATCTGTAACCAGGGCCACGGAATGACCCCAGAACGACAAATGGATCGCTCAGCTGTCTAACTTCTCGAAACATCTCTCATAAAAGTAATAAAAATCTTTATTCAAATTGGATGTTCTTTGAATTTATCACGTAAAATAGTGACTAAGATGACCTCGTTTTCAGCACTATTAATAAAAATTCTCATCGAAAGAAACTAGGATTAGTTTTTATGGAAAGATACCGGCCAGATTAAACAGGTCATACTGAAATGAAGAAACTTGGTCTTACCTTCTGCATGACTCGTTGTTTTCGAGCCACATGCTGTCGCCAAGCTTTCTGAATCCTTCGAGCAAAACCGTCGTATTTCCGCTCGCGAGCTTCTTCCAATAGGAACAACTGTAAAAAAATTATGTGATTAAGCAGTGAATATTTTACTACTCTGGCCATAAAAATTTGAATTTATGTAAAACAAATTCTGTACTGATGAATTTTATATTATAAGCTTTGCAAAAATTAGATACTGCCATTCTTGAATTTATTCGTATATGCAGAATAACATTACACACGTAATTTGAGAAAAAATCTGTGCAAAGGCAATTTCGCAAACTTTTAAATATTTGCCACCTAACATCTGAGATTCCCAGGTGACTTCCTCGAAAATGTTAGTTCAACATGCAAGTCCTGTCTTCAAAAGTTTTCCCCCTCCTCACTCTCTCCAGGTAAGCTTCTTGGGACCGTCATTAGGAGTACGATTATGTGCTACAAATTCAACAACTCGAGATTCCAGCGAAAAAACAATCTTGAATTGCTGATTTTTCAACCATAATTCATGACGTTCAAGCTGCTCTGGTTGCCTTATAAGCTAAACCAGACAGACTCCATTCTTATAAGTGGTTTTTACCGAAATGAGGCCACAGTAAGAATCTTTTTGCTTTAACGATCCGGTTCGTTCAGTAACCGAGCGTGGGGTTATTAGGGCTGTGGTATGGTCTAATACATTTGGTGTGTGATTGCACATGTGATTTTATACAAAAAGACGCTTATTTGTTTCCTGTTGTTCTCTGGTGTAATATATGTGTTACATACACTGGGTGAATTCTGTGAGAATAAAAAGCACAGAAAGTGGAAATCTTGGCTTTCGAATGAAGCTACAGCCTGTTTCAGCCGTAGTGCCCTTTCTCCTTGTCACTCTCGCTATGCAGAGCCTCGCCACGTTCTTACGTGTTTGCCTGAATCGACCTCAACGATGTAGTTCCGCACGCGAGGCCTTCACGCTGCGGATGCGTAGCCAAACAAAAGAGACACTATAATTGAAGCAGACTGTGTTTCGCGCCTACTCTGTGAATCACTGTTGTGCAATTACACAAAGATAAATCTATCAATCTGTACAGATCTGAGGCAATTGTAGCAATTACTTACAGATTCTGGATTCTTGATAAAAATCTTGGTTGTACCCATTTGATATTGATCCTGATCCAAATCTACACTTCGACAGATTATCTGAAAAATCATACTATACTTTGGCTATCCATTAGAATTTTTTATATTTCGATATTGGCTCTAAAAACTATCTAGATGGGTGAAAACCTATTCATTCTAGAACATCTATGCTATGAGAGCAATAATCGAATGATTCAAGGGTCAAAAACATTTAAAACAAAATGCTTGTCATTTCAAAATTTCATAGCTCACGGTACCTTTGTGGTACTTTCTGAGCTTTCTTCTACCCCAAACAATATGCTTGTGGAAAAAAACCTACCTGACATCCTTGTCTTGGATCTCCTCTATATTGTGGCCATGTTTCGGGTGTGAGGATTGCGTATCGATACACAAATTTCTCGAAAGGTCGTCGATAAGCATATCCAGCTCTTCTTACTCGTATGTTCTCACGTAATCCAAGGTATTCTACTTGATGTCGGACCCTGAAAGGTGCTAAGTCAAGTTTTCTAGGGCGTGTTCGGAGACATTTGGGTACCAATTTTGGATACTCATTAGGAAAAATTATTTAAGCTATTGCCCAAGCAGCAGTTTCTTCGACTCCTTTATGGCTGAGAAATCCAGTTTCAAACTCCAGTCCTCTGTCGTACTCCTTCGGCAACGCGCTCTCGATTACGGTAATGGGCGAGAGTTTGGAGCTTACTTTTTCAACCACAAATAAGTCATATGAGCTGCCGCTTGGGCAATCATTCGAAAACTTTCTAAATTAGAACAGGTGAAGAGGTACACCTACCTTGTATCATCCCAGTCTCCGGCTTTCTTCGTTTCATTTGGCTTGATACATCGAACATAGTGAGGTGTACATTTCATAAGAGATTCAACAAGTTCATTGGCTTGATTCTGGAAAGTCAACAAATTTATTCCATTCCTTGTCATGTACTCATCCTCAATAAAAAGCTTTTAGGATCACTTCAGGCAAAAGTGAGCAGATGAGCAGGAAGAACCTCGACACTAGCGAAATCATTTGTTTGAAGTCTAAATTACCCTGATTTTCGTCGAAGCAGTGGTAGGTCGCTTTCCTGCACCCGTATGTACATTATCTGGGAATAGTGATCGAAGGAATGCGCTGCAAAAAGTTCCAGAAATTATTGATTTTCTAAAGAAAAAACAAATTGTTGAAGCAAACCTACTTGGAACTCTGCTGCATGAGCAAAATCAGATCTGGATAAAGCACATCGCGATTACGATCACAAAATCCTTCCACATTATAGACCACCTAGAAATTATATTTTAAAAGATTTGAAATTTTTGACAAAAGTAAAATCTTTTTTTTTGTAAATAGAGAGCAATCTGAGACGATCACCAAATCAAAAGTTAAGAAAGAAAATTTTTTAGATATCTGCAACACTTTCTAAGCTTCTTCGCTGTATAGCAGGGTCGAGTATCTCGAAAAGTCCCAGTTTTATTGCAAATTTTCCGGTTTCTTAGGGTGTTCAAGTGACACAATCCGTTGAGGAGTCGATATCCAAAAAAATTGTTTGTTATTGAATCCATCAACGTAGAATTATGCAATGCAATTTTGCAATTTCTTGGAGGCCCCTAGGTTTCCCAGCAGATCTCGAAGAAAAATGGTGAAAAAAATAGTGCCATGGAAATAAAGTATTCAAATATGTAATCGAAAAATCCTTTAGAAAATTTTCAGCATAATTAAGCAAGTGACAAAAAGCGACAGAAAGTGAAAGAGAAAATTGTACTTGTAAAAAACAAAAATTCCCCATAATGAAGGATAAAATAAGATAGTAGAACAAAATATTTTGGGCTGCTGGTAGACCTTTTCAGAATTTGCACGACACTCTGGCAAAATATTTGAGAGGCGCAGAAAGGTATAATAATCACTCCACCTGAGGAATTTTTGATCTACTACTTCCCTCCCCCCCCCCCCTTTTTTGACAACTATTTTAATTTAGTGGCATCGGCATAGAACACGAACATAACAGAAGAAAATGCGAAATGACTTTTTCAACGATCAATGCACTTATGAAAAGATAATAGCCTTCTAGAGCCGATCTTGTAATTGCTCGAATTGTGGAAAGAACAAAAAATTCAAGAAAACGTACATCTCCAGCATAATGCTTGACCAAAAAGCCCTCAGCTCCAGGTTGATAATGTGGATGTTGTGAGAAAGTTTTGTTTAAGTGACTGAGCAGTTGAGCATCAACACCTTCGGATTGGCCATGATTTTGGGCACAAACGTCATCAAGAACGCACATAATTCCTAGAAAAAATATTTCTTTTGAATTCAGGAAATTTCCATTGCAAGGATTGATGGGATTAGCTTACCTGGAGGACGTTTCGCTTCAATCAGATCGCATACAATTTTATTGTTGAAATAGTCAATTTCTTGCCATTGTATCCTTTCTCGCATATATTCCTCCTGTTCAGCTTTGAGAGTTAGTTCAATGAAGATTTGTTGCAACTTCTCGTTCACAAAGTTTATACTGAAAAAAATTTATCGAAAATCTCCAAAATTAGAAGGCGGCAATCTTACCAAAATTGCTCAAATCCATTCTGTTCGAAAATCTCAAAACCATAAATGTCCAGAATCCCAATGGTTAAGCTTGAATCAACCTTTTCGGAAACTTCTATGGCTCTGTTCACCGATGACACTAGAATTTCCGCTTTTATTTTGCAAAAAAATTATTTCTTGAATTTACCCAGATAATCGAACAATCGAGAATGTATGGCTTTTGCCCATGCATCCCTTGTATAGTTGGCTTGCTCAACATTCAGTGTCACGTCGATGACCTCGGATTTATTGCCCCATCTGGAAAGATTGGCACTTAGCGCTCAAGTTCATGTGAGAAAAGTGCAAATGTGAAAGCCAAAATCAAATTGAAGTCATGTGCAGAAAAAAATTCTTAAAAATAGTCGCACTTTTTGTGTTTGACAGCATTTAGTCTCTTGAATTTTCTTCTGGGAAGAAAGAGGAGGAGGACAAGATTTTTTCAAAAGTTAAAGCTAAGCATGTACTCCTCCACAACGGGAGGTGCTCCGAGTGGCCTTAGTAACTCCCACCTCCCCCCCCCCCGGTCCAAAAAAAATTCAAAAGCGTCTTCAGATTTTATATGAGCTTTCAAAGCTGAGATTACGAAGGAAAAGGCGTGACGCCAAATTGAAGTAGATCCTTTGTAAACAAATTGGAGAAGGTGATTTTCCGAAGAGCATGGAGGGAGAGAGGGAGAAGGGGGAGAAGAAATGAGGGGCTTAGTGATAGATGATGGTAATTTAGTATATCCGAAGAAAATAGAATCAAAAACGCACCGGCTTTCCATTCTTCGAGCTATCAACTTGTGCTGGATATCTTCGGCTTGGAGTCCTAGCAAGAATGCGGGGTACTGTAGCACTAAAAGGCATTGATATGCTTGAAAAGGAAGGAATTTATTGGGTAGTATAACCATTGTGCACTGCAGAAGGAAATAATAATTTGATTACAACTTAAGAGAATTTGGCTGCATTGAGAGTAAAAATTTTCTAATCAGCTATATCAGAAAATGAATAGGTATAGAAATAAGAGTATACGAACATGTTAAAGAAAAATCAATTCTTATTCAAACTAATTGGTAGCTCTCTACTGTTTGCCTTCTCGAAAAATACGGGTTTTATACGTATATTTTTTGAATTCTTTCTTCGAAGAACTCACTGTCAGGATTATCAACGGCGGCGTAGTTCTTCTCTTCCATGAATGTAATATTACCAATGTGAAGAATGGCTGATACTAGCTTCAAAATTTCAAGCTGCATTTCATCGCTGATTCCTACGACAGTCATGGCATGCTGAAATACTTGGGCGATTTTAATATTTTATAAGTTTTCAGACAATTTCAACAAAATTGTAATTCAGCATAGTACCAGAAAAATTGTGGTTACTCACAAGTGTGTTTTGGAACTCCTTAGCATCATCCGTGTCTGCAGCTTTGTAGACACCGCTTTGATTCAAATAATTATAGTAGTCGAGATCACCAATTCCGAGTGTTGCTAAAGAAAATTACTTTTGTTGCAACTCAAGCATAATCATGCCCAATTGCACCCGGTTCAGAAGCCTTCTAAACAAATGCGGCGCACTAAATGATGGGCAATTGACATTTGGTGTCGCGTAAGAGAATCGAAAACAGATGAGTTAGCTCTCGATCATTGTACATTAATGACCGAAAACTTTTGCAAGTATAATACAGCTTGGAAAGGAAGCAAATACATTGTTCAGTGCAATTTTCGTGGCGGATACCGCGTTTAGTTTCGTCTACGCAACACCAAATCTCAAATGCCCGTCGTTTAGCGCCGCATCTTTTCGATTGGCTCTGAGCCGGTCTACAAGTTGAGTCTCGCGCTCAGGATGGCCACCCTTATCGTACAAAAATAAAAAAATATGCTAGGACAACTCACATTTGACATTCTTTCCAGCTCCAGCACAAAGCTGATAGAAAATATGAAAATTTCTATCACCACGATTTTGTTGGACCACTCGTGACTTCTCTAACAAAAAGTTTGTAACCTAAAATCCTTTCTTATGCAGTTTTTCTAGAAATTTCGCTGCAAGTAATGGAAGTCACCTTTCCACCGATCGGCTCTCCACCTCTACCAAAGGTAATTTGCACATATTTGCCAAATCGGGACGAGTTCCAATTTCTTACAGTTGCACTATTTCCAAAAGCTTCCAGTAGTGGATTGGATTGGAGAATGACGTCTTTGACGTGCTAAATGGTGACGGAGATTTTCAAGAAACTCAAAAACTAGGGAAAAATCGCAGAAGGTCTACCTGAACTTTTGGACCGCCGCCAGATATCCGAGATATATATGTCATGATATATTTAGCAGCTACAGTTTTGCCAGCACCACTTTCACCGCTAATTATCACACATTGTGATTCATTGTCGATTAGCATATTTCTAAAATTGATCAAAGACGCCTTTATATAACAAATTTTTAGTTTTTATAGGCGCCAAAGTTTATGGTACGTGTAATTTTGTACTTAAACCAACTGCAAATAAAAAAAATGAGGCAAGGATAGGCGTGGAAAATAGAAGCAACTGAAGCACCGCCCACTTCTGCATCCTATCAACATATCGCGTTAGGACTTGCTTTGGCCAATGAAAGAGGAGCGTCTGTTTTGAGCGCGAAATTTAAAATTGTTCCTTTCACTCACAGGAGTTTTTTTCAGTAAGATTCAGATTTCTAGGTCAAAAAAATTACCTGTACATGTTATCGGCTAAGGCATAGATATGTGGTGGATTCTCATACTGTGCAGCTCCTTGATATTGATCCATGTCTTTTTCGGTAAAATAAGGCATTTGTTTGAAAGGATTTACAGTGATTAGTACCGGTCCTATGTAAGTCTGGAAAACAAAACAGTAAGTTCAATATTACCAATGGCAGCGCACAGGTAAGTTTAGATACCTGGGCTGGGAATTAGTGTGAGAATCTTAGCTAAGAAATTGCTCAAGCGGCAGTTCGATTTATTCGAAAACGAGAAAATCAAGTGTAAAGTCTCGCCCAGTACCCGAGAATTGGTTCTCTCGGAAATACGGTATTGGGCGAGACTTTGGAGTTGAATTTCTCAGCCATAAATATATCATTTGAGCTGCGACTTGGGCGATGGCTTAACTAGTGGTCGTAGTTTCCCCAAAACGAGAAACTTGTAAAACCTACGAATATGCTGTTGCCATGAAATCGTTTCTTGAGGTTATCGGTAATGGATTGTTCGGTAAGTTTGCTGAGCAATACCATGTCTTCGACACCGACATGTTGTACGTTTACGTTCGACTGCCAGTGGAACGCCTAGAAAAATACAATCGTCTTTTGCCAAAAATCAAAAAGAAAAACTTTTTCAACCAATCTGAGAGATGACTCATAGATAGGAACTCAATGATACCTAGTGACTTATCAATATGTCACTTTGCTAGAGAAGAAACGTGACTATTACCCAAACAGTTTACGAACAATATGGAACAAGGTATCAACTTTTTAATGATCAAAAAAAATTAAATTATTTGGGGAAGTTTTTTTCTTTATTGCGTTTTGAATAACCTCTCTTGGAAGATATGAATCTGAAGAATTCAATAACAAAAAGGTGTGAGCTTTGAAAATATTTTCCTAACAGTTTCAACACTTCCTATTTTAGCAGGATTTTCAAGAAAAGTCATTATAAGTCAACATTAAATTTGATTTTCAAATGTGAAACTATGATCAAATCAACAAGAGAATAGGTGATGACTGGAATTCGCGAAAACTCTCAGATTTGAAAAGTCATTTTTTTATGTAAAAATCAACAAAAATCAAGGTTTTCAACGAAAAAAAAAAACAATGTTGAATTGAACGAGAGAAGGGGATTTTCTTTTTATGTTCCAAAAACTGGAACGCAAAAGTTATTTTCTTCAAAAAATGTTTTTGTAGATATGCGAGAATTGCATGAGAGCATAAAATAGTGAAAAAATAAAAAAGTGAGACTGAAGGAAAATCTTAATCGATTGTACTCACCATTCTTCATTTGTGCCGATGTTAGTGGAAAGTTAATGTCAGCCAGTTGAGCGAACGCAAAACACGAGGCTGAAATGCAGTAATAAAATTAATAAAATTAAAAATTCTATTAAAAGAAAACTCTCAGGAATACAGGAAATGCTAAATAACATGGAGGACAAAGAAATAAAGAACAAGCGGGGAATAAAGTATTGAAATTTGAGGATAAAATTCAAAAAATCAAATTTTTATTACACTTAAATAGTGAAATGGAACGAAAATAGTTTACTGCGTTCAAACAAATCAGCTATAGCTAAGTTTTGATTTATTTATGAGTAAATCAGATTAGGAAAGAATACAAAAGGAATGACAGTCACGGCGTTTTTTTCAAGAATTTTTGTTTTTTCTCTGACCCATCTGAAGTGCAATAAAACCGAAACAAAAAATTAGCGGCATTGCTTTGGAAACACAAAGAAAAAACAATAAGCTGGGATTGAAAAAAAATCGCTCAAACATTTATGATGCGATTTTCTAATTTAAAATGCATTGATCGAATGTATTTATCACTTAAAAAATCGAAAAGCCAACTCATAAGCTGTGAAAGTAGAGAACTGATACTTGATGACTAATTATCAAATTTTTTGAGCTTAACGCACATCTTCAAAAGTAAGTAATGTTATCTTTGCTTAGCATTTGGTTCTTATCAACCAAAAAACATACAAATTCCTCTATTTCGTGACATTCTGTTCTCCAAATCATTTATCATTTGTTTACCTTCACATTTAGCTAAAGTAATATTATAAAAGCGGAGCATAAAGAAACCATAGCGGATTCTGAGAATAAGCTGCGATTAAGCTGCTAGCGCAGCTGAAGTCTTGAGGAATTATATAGCGATTAGCTTCAGCTATATTCGCCAGCACATTTCTAGTAGATTGCTGTGAAATTAGCTTAAAGCGAAGAATTCTAACGGCGAAGATCGTGGCGTAATCCGAGAAAAAATGCTGACCTTATCGCTAAGGAACAACCTTTCTAGACCTGCATCGCAAATTTGACAAATCACAGAAAAAAGAGTCATAACATTTCCAAAGGAATTTAGAATAAAGCAGCTTGGAATAAAATTGATCGACGGGGCTGAAATGGTGGAAATTGCAAAAAATCGAATTCATTGTCATTTTAATAGGGAACAAGGACATCAGCATTTCGTTCTCTGATTCCAGCATTTTTTCTCATCCCACATTAACTTTAGTCAAATTTGACTATCTCACCAAAAAAATATTATTGAAAGTACATACAAAGTTGAAATTGAGCTCGGAAAAATCCTGATGTAAGCCATTCTTCAAAAGTATTCGAATAATAGACTTTTAGGTGAGAAATAAAAATTTTATCTGCAAGAAATTTTTTTTTTGTGAAGTACTGTTCATTTTACAGCTTTTAGTATAGCGATGAGAGACGACAATGTTTCATAAAATTTAACAACAGAGAATTTTTAGTTTTGAAGTATTTGATTAGCCGTGTGAAGATAAATTTGTCTCTTTAGAATTCTGCTGTAGGAGCTTGGGAAAAATTTAGAATACATTTTTTTAGAAAGCCAGAAAAATTTGGGCATTTTGTACATGGCTGACGCTTCTTTTCTGGGGAAAAATTTACCACTTTGTATTCGCATTATTGGAAATATGCAAAGTACATAGAGGTAAAAACTTGTCATCGAAATGATGCATCAGCAGTTATTGATAACTCCGGAGTAACAATTGCAAGCAGAATGTATAGGAAATCAAAAAAAAAAGAAAGTGAGGGAGGGATCAATTCCAATTCCATAAAAAAGAGTTTTCCATTAGGTCCGTAATGAAAAATGGTTGTACATTGACGATGAGTAATGTTTGTATGACTTATGGATGGAAACGCACATTGCATTAACAGACGACATGAGTCATTCGACGGTAACACATGCGAAGCGGAGAATTTATCAAAGTCAAGCATCGATTCATTTTCGTTTTGATGTTTGAATGACTAATTTGCACATATGGAAAGCTGTAGATAAGAATCTTAAAGCCGTGATTTGCGAGCATTAGGAGGATTGGAGGATATTAATGGATAGCAAAAGCCTAAGGAGGATCAGAGGTCAAAAAATACTAATATAAGATTATTACGAAAAATTTCTGGGTAATCGATAAAGGTATAAACCATGAGATACTCCCACTCATCCAAAAACGGGAATTGTCACATCAATTTTATCACTATTAGGTAATTTTCTTCAAAATAGCATGAAATTCTAGAAGGTTAAGAGAACGCAGGCATGGTCCTGAGACGATATGAGGTGTCGCTTCAAACAAAATTACTTATGAAACTAACCGTATTTGTATATCCACTTAAAACACTCGCTTATGAATTGTTAAGTTGTATAACTAACTGTAAACAACAACAAAAATTATTGATTTCTGAATATAATAAATTCTTGCACTATGGAGAAAAAAGTTTTTGTTGTCCCCGTTAGGTAAAGAAGTCGAACAAAGCCGAAATGGAAGCTGATGCTGCACCAAAAGTTTTCTTATCTTTACGTTGCCTTGGAATCTCTGATAAGACGTTACCGAAGCGTGGATATGGAAACCGGAACATTTCAAAATTAAGAACACCAAAAATCGTAGAATTCATTCAAAAATGGTAAATAAGCGAACGAAGCAAAAAAAAAACCAATAAGTATATGCAAGATCACAACCAAACTAATAATCATAGCTTTCAAATAGAACTCCCAAAATGATCACTAAAATTAAATAAATTGAAACAATAAAATTGACTACGAACATTCCGGAAAAACTATCACTGATTTGTTTACAATATTGAACACTTTTCGAACAAATCCTAAATATATAAACGTTGTAGATAAATCTTTGGAGGAGTTCAATTAAACAAACCAATCAAACTTAGAATCAGAACAGAATCTAGCAAGCTTCTCAATCAATTATCGCAAAAAGTATAGAGAAACCAGTTGCGATTTACCAAATGCACACACGATGCTTATTTTATGTAAATAAATACTAGACCAGCTTTCTGCGAAAGAATGTCATCGATACATCTATGCTAGTTAGTCTGCTTCGACAAGATTCACAAGGAAAAATGGAGCTAAGATAAATCAAAAAGAAGATATAATTGTTGTGAATTGTACATTTCCAAAACGAAAACGGCTCGAGAAAGTAGATGAGCGAAAAAGCACAAAAAAAGGTTTGAAGAATCTGAATCTCATCCAAGATATCAATAAAATTGAATCTAATATTTTCTAAAACTTTAATAATAAGCTATTTTCCAAGTAGCGTTGGAAATATCACTGAAAAAAGGAGGCCGATGAAATGAAGTAGCAGAAACTTCTTCCGAATTTGATACTTTTTGGTTTTTCTTTTGGCATTGAGTTTTCTTGGAAACAAAACTCTACTTAAGTGAAGAAAAATTCAAGACAAATGCCCCAGTTTTTTTGTGAAATTCATAGAGCAAGAACATAGTTTTTGATGGTGGACTCAAAAAAGCACAGAATGTTTGAAATCTTGGGTTTTGTTCAGGTCGAAAAAATTTTCCTATTATAGCTCTGGTGCTTGAATCTGAAAGAAAACCAAGTAGTAACTTGGCCTTGAAATCAATAAAGGATTTCTGCGATTTTTCATTTCTTGACAAATCCAAGATTAATGGGGAAAAACTGACATGACAATATCTTTACAAATTCAGAATATGAGCAAAAAGTAGCAGAAGTCAATAAAACAAGAAGACAAAGGGCGGAAGCAGGCATAAGTGCGAGGGAAACGAGGTCGAAGATTTCTTTCGGCAGAGGAACTTGTGCGAAAATAATGGAATGAATCACTCTACGGGCAGCCTGGCAACATAACAGAATCATCAGCAAACATTGGAGCAATCAACGAGACGGCAAATTGTTTGTTGCAAGAATGAAGTGGAGCTCTTGAGGATAAAGATAAGCTGAACTGGGCTTGGGAGCCAGTTTTCGCTTGGAAAAAATGAGTAAATTTGGCTTGAAAATTGTTTCTAGGAAGAAAATTGCATGAATACTGCGGAAAAATGAAAAAAATCAACGTAGACTACATCTGGAGGAAGATTTCAACGAACTCACACACATTGTTACTGGCATTTTTACCTCCTGCATGAAACCGGAAAATTTAAGAAATTTTAAGCGCGACATCTAAATGTTGGACAAGCGTAAAGAGCGAACGTAAAAAGCTACATGCGCGATCCATAAAATGATTAAAGGATTAAGGGACCACGCTAGTCACCATAAAGGTCATATACACGGGAGGGGGAGGGATATCGTGGTAGATTTGCTATCTTACATGAACTAAAGGTCCCACAAGGTCTCTTGTTAAAATTTTTCTGTTCCAAGAAAAGAAGCAAAACGTTGAGGTTGAAAGCAATATCTCTGAAAATCGAGGAAATTTCTTGTTCCATTGCAGGAGGCTCAAGAGTGATGGAAACAGTCTTAAGCGAAATTTCTCAGGGTTTTTATGCAGGCAGGAGAACTGAAACGGGGAATTTATACAGTTTTATAAGAAATCAATGAAATTTTCCGATTTCAGGCAGGAGGGGTGAGTTAATGCAATAAATTATCGATCAATTTTCCTGTTTCAGAGAAGTAACAAAAATGGCAACAGCGGTAAGTTTTGATTGTGAAGTAGTAGAACTGCTGCGGAATGGATTCAGGATGAACATATCGATGAAGTGAGCGTTTGTAGGAAGAAAAAACAAACGAATCAAAAAATCATTCGAAAATAAAAGAGCGAGTATAAAGGGAGCAATGCAAAATTTTCACAAGTGCCTTCGAATCAATTTCGATCGGATAGATGAAAATTAAGAAACAAAAATTGCTACACAAACTACAAACCCTTGGTTTATCCAGAAAAATTTTTTTGAAGACAAGAAATGCGAAAAAAATGTGGGATCGCTAAGGCACTGCTATAAAAGTCAAATTTTTTCCGTTATATCAGTAAAAATAGTCGAAATAAGCAAATTGTGAAAGTGAAAAACTAGTCTCCAGAAAACCAATAAATTTTCCAGTTTCAAGAAGGGAATATATTTATTTCACTTCAGCGTGGTGTACCTTGGTT